TTAAAAATTGGTCAAAACTGTTATTTTTTTCCTTTTTAAAGTTTTTTCTTTTTATTTCAGAACATTAATTCTGGCATGTTTTTTTTTTTTTTTTTAAATTATTCACCTTCCCAAGGCCCGAGGGGGCCACTACAGTCGAGGAGACTACTCTTTTTTTTTTTTTTTTTTTTGTAAATTGTGGTACAACGCTCTCTCAACTTTTTAACTCCGAAACACGAACCTTGACAAGCAAGACCGTTTTTTTTATAGTTATTAAGTTGCTTCCAGAAGACCTTGCGGTCTCATCACAAAGCACATCTGAAGACCATTTAACTCGGAAGGTATCGCCTCCTACCTTACCAATGGCGCTTATTAGAACGGGTCAAACTTTGGACCTATTTGTTCTGATCCAGAACTCAGAACCACTGCACCACGCTGCTCAACTAAATAATAAATGTATGCCAATAAAAACTAAACTTGTCATTTTAGTCGAAGATTATCTTTTCCACTCTACTCTGAGTCTCAGAGTTTTTTAATATACACCGCTATCTAGAGACTTGATAATTTAATTCAAACGTGTTTAAATCATAAAAATTTTAATATATGACATCTTTGTAGATCTTTTTCTTTTTTTACAACGTTTTATTTCACTTGCTTTCTTGTCGGGTTTTTTTTTTGGTGTCTGTGCAAAACAAACATGAGCTCAGCGGTAATAACAAAAGAAATTGTTAAAAAGTAATTAAAACAAGTTAAAACAGCAAGGTCTCCTATATACCTGGTCTGCGCACTATTTTTTCGCTAATACGCTAAGGGGCTGAAAAACTATTTGATTCGAAAAGGGCTTCAAAAAACTTCACTTACACAAACAAATAAAAAACCGTTAGAAATTAAAATAAAATTTGAAAATGTTTATTATTATTTTTTTGTTAACTATAAGAAATTTTTTACATGCATTTTTTTGTTAACATTTTTTAAGTATAAGTATATACATAAGAAAAGTAACTTTAACTTAGAATTTTTAAGTTTTTGAATCTTTTTATCTGCAGATAACATTTTTGAACAGTTTTTTGCATTTAAATTACATACAACATCACGTGAAACAGTATTTAAAAATGTCTTAATAATTATTACACAAGCATCTTCCATTTAATGCTTTCCATTTGAACACTTCTCTGAGAGATGGGTTTAATTTTTATGTCGCACAAAAGTAACTTTTCAAAGATTAAATAATGATTTTTTACTTTTTGATAAAAAAATGTCTCAAATGATCAGTTTTGAAAATAGTTAGAAAATAGCTATAAAATAGTAAACATAATTTAAAACATAAATCAGTTGATCGTATTAGACCTCCTCTATTAATGTCATTAAACAAATCATTTATTTTTCCTTTTTCTTTAGAACAAATGTCTAATAAATATGCTTCCGAATTGTTATCAACAAAGAAATTATTGCAATCTAATCACTGATGGAACTTGAACAATCTTCGGGAACAATAACCTGCAAAAATATAAACAGTATTTACAGTATCATCTTCAATAATTGAATAAGGACCACATCATTAAAATTGAATTTTAAATTTTGGGACTTCACGATATCATCTTCATCCAACTGGGTAGCATCTATATTTAATAAATCTTTCATATTTTTAAGATCTTTTATCAAAACTCCTGAAAACTTGCAAAGACTTTTAATTCGAAACTTTTTCTCAGCATCTAAAACTTGCTTTACTTTTTTGTAATAGTTTCCACCAAACAGCTGCCTATAATGACCAAACCTTTGTTCAATAGGATTAGATTGGAGCTTTCCTAAAAGGATATAATTCACACCATACTTTTTGAATAAAAAATGCTCACTAAATTTTTTAAGGCATTTACACATTTGTATAAAAGCTAAACTAGTTGGATAGGATAAACCTGTATTAGGAACTTTTAAGCGATTGCATTGATTAAGAAAGTCAACAAATATTTTCAAAATAATTAAGTTTTGGTCTAATGGGTTTCGAATCGGTTTCATAAGCATGTCTCATTTACGTAAACCAGCAACTGGAGATTTCACATTAACAACTTTTCGAACTTCCACAAACCTTTCTATTAAATAATGATTAGCATTCCAAGTAGTTTTTTCATGGATAATTTTAAAACATAGCTTTGCTGATGTTCTTTGGTGATTTGTAGGCTGAAAGCATTGTTTGGATAAGTGATGGGCAACTTTTAATGGGTTTTTACTCTCATACTGAAAAATCTGTAAAATGTCATTAAAATCTGCATTGATATATTTTAAACCAGAAGGTGATATTAACATTTATAATTGATTATCCAATGACTGATCTCTTGGTATACATGATATTGGAATAGGAAACATTTTACAACTTTCAAAATTATTAAAAGCATTTTTGAAGTTGTGAGTAGGATCAATTAAAATAAAGAGTTTCTCGTTGTTTAACATTGGATGATTAAATAAAAGGACCAGAAACCAACATTTCTTAAAAGTGGGAACATTTATTTTAGAAAAAGGAAAAAGACAAACAGTATCCATATAATTTCCAACAACTGAAGTGATAAAAAATACTAAAACGGTTGTTGCTAACTTCTCTGTTTCATCAACAATACCCAAAAACCTTCCATCTGCATACTCAATTTCTTGATTAATATAAATTTCATCAAATATTAAATTTACAATTTTTTTATTGGTCAAAGACTGTATTCTTTTTTCAAGATAAATTTTATTTTCATTGTTTATTCCAGTAGATACTGGAAAGCCTTCAGAGAGTAGCACTTGATGGCAATGTAAAGATGTTATTACGTAAAATCATCTCGTAGCATCTTTTACTACTTGTATACCACAACAAACAAGTAACAAGAAGATTATTGTTGTATCTTCTACTTTGGCATGGTTTTTCCAATAAAAGAAGCTGGTCACATATAAAGTTGAGCTTTGTACAAATTTTTTCAGTGCAATCATATCCTTTTAAAAGTTTAACGCATGTAGACATAGATGAAATTTCACTAACTTTTTCAATTAAATAATGTATGTAGCTTAGCATATTTTCTAAATCTGATAAACTAGAAATTTTTGCTATGTTTGCCATTACTGATTGGAAAGATTCTTTTGGAACAACTATATTATTTATTTAAACATCGAAGTTCTAATTTTTATATATGACAAAAGATGATTTGACAGTTACTCCTGTTGCATTTAACTGAAGAAGAGAATAGCTCACAGTATCACTAGCAACAAAAATATTAAGATAGAAATTTCTGATTTTTCTTGCAACCTTTTTAGTAAGCTCTTCAAATGATTTAACAGCATCTTTAGATTGAAAAAGTTCTAAATCGTTTATTATTACATTATTTTCCCTGTTTAGGCAAGATGTGAAAGAAGAAAAAATAGTGGAACGAGGCACTGGTCTTACTATACTTAAACTTGGCAAAAATGGAAATACTGATGGTACAGCTTCAGGTCTTAATACCTTCCTTTCTAAATTTTGTTCCGAACAAATTTGCTTGCGACTTCTGTTAGAATTAGAGCTTGCATTTTTGAAGTGTTTGTACAAAGTGGGAAACGTAGGAGCAAACGTAGCTGTTTTTTGTAGGAACAAAATGTTCACTTGTAATTTGCCTCAACCATTGCTCACAAACATTGCTATCAGCAGGAAAAGAATGGTAGTTTTTAGATTTCGGATCAAGATCGGTGTCATACCCAGATCATACATCCATAAGCACAGCATCTTTGTACTATGGTTATATAGTTATTTAAAGTAATATGTCATAAAGCTTTAAGATTCACATTTTTACCTTCTCTAAAAACTGGTTTTACATCAGCCCCTTAGTGTATGATTTTAGAAAAAATTTTCAAGTGCGCAGACCAGTTATAAAGGAGACCTTGTCAAAACAGACTTTAGTTTAGTGTAAGTAAAAGAAATCATTAAGAAAAGTAATTAAAAGAAACAATAAACAACAAACTTTAAGCGTTTTAGTTTAGTGTAATCAATCAAATAGAAAATAGGGATGGAATCAAATAGAAAAGATAAAAAAATAGCAAAAAAAAAAAAAAAGCTTTTTAAAAACAACGTTTTAAAAATGAACTGAAAAGTAAAAAATGAACTATTTCACGGGACCTAAAGACTTTGTGTACATACACAATCTGAAATATCCATTAAAGTCAATGACTGAAAATGTTGGGCAAGCAAGTACAAAAAAAGTACAAAAGTACTTGTTCCTATTGGCGCCTAACATTTTCAGTCATAAACTTTAATAGATATTTCAGGTTGTGTACGTATACAAGGTCCTTGGGTCCAGTGAAATAGTTTATTTTTTACTTTTTAGTCCATTTTTAGAATGTTGTTTTTAAATAGTTTCTTTTTATATTTTTTTTATTAAATATATTGACAGTATTTATTAGGGATATTTGATGAACGTCATAATGACCTCATATACTGAAACTCTTACATATTAAATGCGCTGGAAATAAATTATTTATAATTAAGTCTGTAAACTGCAACACAAATTATAAAGACTTTAAGATACAGAGTAAAAAGATGAAGGCTTTCACTAAAATGACAAGTGTAGTTTTTATTAATATTCATTTATTATTTAGTTTTATTCAAAAAAAAAAAAAAAAATTTAACACTTTCATTAATATGAACACAAGTGTTGGGAGTTGGTACTCTCTTTAAGCAATAAAAGAGATTTCAAAAAATTATGAGATATGATCACCAATATTTTAAAACTTATTAAGACTAGACTAGAGGACAATTAGTCACTTAATAAGTAAAATGAATGTAAATAGATTATGTAAAATGGTAAAGCTGTAACAATGGGTAAAAACCAAAATAAAAAACACAGCTAGCCTTGTTTAAAACTAAGCAAAAACAATTTTATTAGGAAAATTTTCTTAAACCTATTGATGATTCAAGTCATCACTTAAATGCTAGTTTATATATTTAAAAACTATATGAGACTATATATGTTTAAAACAATTTTCTATAGAGACCAGTTTTAATGACTCTATGAAGTCCATACCTTATACCCAATTTAGTAGAATACATCCACTTGTTTTTTGGAGATTCTTCATGGAATAATGCCCATTCATGATGTGGTAGTCTAGGCAAAGGTAAGTCTCTAGCATCAAAAGATGTACCATAAAATATAATTCCTCTAGTCAAACTGTTCTTTAGTTGTTTACGATCTTTTGTAACTGAACAAGATCCTAGATTAAAGTAGCTAAGTGAGCAATTTGTATTACAAATTTGAAGAGGATTAATAAAAAAAAATTAAGCACAAATATAACTCAAATAATTACCAAGTTTGCATTTTATTTGATTTTCATATGAATGAGGATATATGGAATCAGAATACCACCAAAGTATCTGTGGCATTTCAGTTTCCTTGATTAAATAGATCTTATCATTTAAGGGTGGAAGATTTTTGAAGTCAGAAAATTTACGAGCAATGTTGCTAGATTTAGATAAATTAGCTAAAAAATTAAAAATAAATTTTAAACCTTAAATGAATTATAGATATCTTATGTTATTAAATATATCTATATTTAATAACATAAGATATTCTAAAAAAGTAAAAATAAAACAAATATACAAGTATTTTTTTATTTTTTTTAAAAGAAACTTAAAAAAAAAAAACTTGCAGAAGAGCTTTAGGTCTTGTCATCAAGACTTGTGAAATATCTATACATTATTTATCTATAAACTTTATATTGATGTTTATATTTAACAAATTTTTTTCTAATTTATTCATTTCTTTTTTTATTATTATAATTTTTAAATTATATATAATTTATATATTCTGTAAAAAGAATTTAAATATAAAATATGTAAAAAGAAATATATATAAAATTTGCAAATATAAGATGTGGTTCAGATATATTCTTTATATAATATAATGTATTAATTATTCGTTTTTCGTAAAAATGGTAAAAACATACCTTCAAAAATAAAATGATTTCTTTTAATTTTTTTTTTTTAATGAAAGATAAGTTTTTCAAAACTACTATGATTCAAAGAAATGCTCCTTGGAATAAATACTTAACTATTCAAAAGTAGTTAGAGAAAAAGTTTGTCTATTTAAATTATAATTTCTAAATAATTATTAAATAAGTTTTTATCTTTTAACATTTGTAAGACATAGATTATGGAAAGAAACATGAGATGCGTTGGTTTTACATTTGGAGATAAAACAAAGAATGTTAAAAATATTCAGCTGATAAATATTAAGAATTTTCATTTCAGTCTTGAAACTGACACAAAAAACTTTGCCACTGTATAATACAAAGCATCATTAGTATAATTTATAATTTATGTAATAATTATAAAGCATCATCAGTATAATTTATAATTTATGTAATATAATTTATAACTGAATTAATTATGTATTATAAACTGTATAACTTAGAACATGCTAAACAATAAAGTCTTTAAACAAATATCAGTTTCTTTCAAATGTAAGACAAAAAAAAAAAAAGAAGAAAAATGTGTTACTGCTTGTTTAAATATAGTACATATAAAAATAAAATAAATAATAAAAAAATAAAAGTGAATAAAATAAAATAAATAATGAAAAAATAAAAGTGAATAAAAAAAATGAAAGTTAATAAAATAAAAGTAATAATTTTTTATATAAGTAAATAATACAATTTTGCATTTTTTCCATTTTAAAAAATGTTTCTATGTGCTCAATAATTTTGGGTTAATGCAGGTTATGTCAATAATAACAATGTTGAAACAATATTGAAACAATACCAAAACAGTTGTTTCTCTACAAAAAAATGTTAACTAAAAGTATAAGATTCTAAAATTAGTATTTTTTTAAATGCCAAAAACAATATTTTATTTTATCTAAACTACTGAATAATTTTTGTCGACACTTTTTAAATATTTAAACTGTATAATGAATTAGACTGCAATTAATTTTTGCAATAATGATAATTTAATTCACCTTTGATACTCCGCTCCACTGTTGATCTACACCTCCAGGGCCGACGACACAGGTTTTGAAGTGAGGGGAGGGGGGGGACACGCAACCATCAATTTGTAAAAAAAATCCTCAATATCAAGATTTTTCTTATAAAAAAAGGTCTTTTAGAAAAAAAGTGAGGGGGGGGGGGGCTTATGCCCCCTGGCCACACTGGTGTCGCCAGCCCTGACCTCTTGATAATACAGACAATGAAAACACTTGTTAACACAGACAATAAAAAAGTAAAGACATTTAATTTAGATAATGTACAAGTAAAAAATATATCACAAATGATTCTTCTAAACACATAGAGGAAGTTCGTATACCTAGGTATGGAATTTTTTTATGCCTAAATTCGAGACCCCTGACTTGTCTAAAAATGGTGAAACTGATATGATCCCATTTCTATACTAATATAATATATATATTGACTTAAACTATAAAAATCAATTATGTAAAAGGGTTTAAAAATTAATGGTGCTAGGTCCAATAAGCTTTTTTAAATTGTAACTAGAACCGCATAGAACCATAATAAAATTGACTAAAAGTTCTGAGCAAAATTGACATATTGACAAGTCTACGCATAAAATTATAGTCCCAAAACAACTGCAAAAAAAAAAAAAAAAAAATTTAACACCAATAAAAATTTAGCAATCTACTTCATAATCAAGCAAACTCTTTATGGACATATTAGGTACAAGAAATGATAGCTTTATGAAATTGCCATTTATTAACAAACCCTGATTGTGAGGAAACTTATTGAACATTGCATTGAGTACTTAAGTAACAAACAATATTATATACAAGAACTTATAGATAGTAGATTTGAAAAAACTTAACAATATTGTCATAAATATTGTAAATAATTTTGCCATGCATATAATCCCTTCTTTACCTGCTAACTCTACAATATTTATGTCAAAAAGGTGTTTTATGTGCTCCTCTAGGATTGTAGAACAACAGCAACAAAAAACTTACTTTAGACCATCAAAACGCGTTTTCTAATTATAACTTGCTGTAGCAACCTGATTATAAATTGCTGTAGCAACCTTTTAATCCTATTTTGATTCTCTGAATCAAAATAGGATTAAAATCAAAATAGAATTAAAAAAGAAAATTTTTTTATAACTAATCACCTGACTTTTTTTTTATAACTAATCACCTGACTAAGAAACATTACTTAGAACTTTATAGTTTTCAAATGAAGTGGGTGGCCCTAGGTACAGGAAGACCCTAGGTACAGGAAGACCCTAGGTACACAATCTTCCTCTATCATCAAGCCAATTAATGATCAAATATATGAACTTTTCCAAAATGAATGTTGTGGGAATAAAAATGATACTTCTATAACAATTTTTTTTTTATCTAATTTTTAAAAATTTGAAAATCTATTTTTTTTTGTAACTCGTAATGGAAGTAACCATAACAACCATTTGAAATGGATAATCATTTTTATCCAGAAAAGTAATATTACAGATTTTATTGTCTAAAGTTATGTTGGTTGTAATTAGTGGTCATGTTTTTGTGTAAACAAAACTAAAACCAAAAAAAAGTTTTTTGTACTACAATCATCTTTGGTGCAAAAACCATCATCAGGGCTTCCAACAACGATGACAATTCCAATAACAATATCTAAAAATAAATAATAACTTGATAAAAATTTTAATAAAATTTACTGATTATTTTACCTGAATACTTTAGCACACGAGTACAAGAGATTTTACATACAAGATAAATTACCAGAACTCTTTAAACAGCTACACTCAATTATTACACAAAAAAATGTTTCATTTTATAATTTCTACAATATTTATAAAAATTTTTTAAAATACAAATAAGATAAAATACACTGATGTCCTTTACTATTTTTTAGTTTACACACATATACACATTCATATATAAAGCAAATTGTGCAGAGCAGTGTGTGTAGCTATTTGGTATAGAACAATGTTATTGCATCGATAAGTTGAAGTTAAAATAAATAAAACACGTAGTCATAAGTATTGACATACTGTTAATACTTACGACATAAAAACTGATTATGTTGTGGATGTTCAAAATCAAAATGTTTGTGGGAAAGTGATAGAATTTATGATTTAATAACTTTATTTAACAACCATTTTTATAACTTATTTATTTTGATTTTGTTTTTATTTACTTCTAATTGTGCAGATTTAATAATTTAATAAATTTTCAACTTTATTAAAATTTAAACTTTATTAAAATTTATTAAAATATTTTGTAAAATTAAATATGCACTTGTAATATTTAATGGGTCTATTTTTAATGAAGCAATGTAAAGTGACTTGTAAAAGTCTTTCAAACAAGTGTATGTTGCCATGACTATTTATATTATAGAATTTATACAATTTTAGTTGCGTAAACCTGGAGTTACCACAACTTACAAAAAATTTTACATTTACTGGCTTTACATAGCCAACATTTTGGAATACAGATGTATACCAAAATATACAGATGTATATCAAAACATTAGTTTATGAAATAAACAAACACAACCTTTAAGAACAATAAAAAAAAAATTAAAAAAAAAAATGACAAAACTTACAAAGTTTTGCAAATAAGCTCATCTCATACAAGTCTGCTTTAAAATACTAATTTTTAATGTAATGCAAACATCATAATAAATGAAACAAAAAATTCTAAATTATAATAAAACAAGCAAAATAACTATAAGTAACAAAAAATAACACTGTTATGTAATTTCTATAAAATGTCATTTTAAAACAGCAACAAGCCAGAACTTCAGACTGAGAAGGACAACCATCTACATACAAAGGTAATCTATGATAAGGGAAAAAAAATCTCTTATTTAAAAAAAGTTTTTTTTGGTATGTTTTAAGATATTTGCATGTGTATGCTGACCAATGAGCATGTAAACAAATATGCATATATCATCTTTAATACATACATCAATTAAAGTTTAGGATTTGTGCAAACTTGAAAAAAAAAGAGAGAGAAATATACATAAATAAACTATCATCAAAATAAATATAGTAAATTGTAAACAATAAATTGTAAACAAAAATATATACAAAGTATGCTAAAATATACTCTTTATTTTACTATATATTTATAATTTATATATAACAACTATATAAGTTGAATAAAAAAAAGCTGTATAATTATAATATTCAATACTTAAATTAAATAAATAGAAAATTTCAAAAATCAGCTTTTGCCTTTACATAGAAAAAAATCAAATTGAAATAAATTTAAGTTTAAAAAATGATTGTAAAACTAAATATATATAATAAATCTAATAACAAAACTGCCAAAAAACATTTGATTCAAATTATATAAATTGATAAATAATGCTATTATGTTTTTTTATTTCAACACATTTTTTATCGGTAGTAACATACTATATAAATTTTATTTTAAAAATTTTTAAAATTTTATATAACATACTATATAAAAGCATTAAGTGTATCAAGGAAGACTTCGAGGCAACCAATAATTTGAGTAATATTTGGTCTGTCTTCCGGAGATAATGCCCAACAGCATGCCATTACAGCAAAAAAGTCATCCGGACAATGAAGTGGTTGCGGCAAGCGAAGACCAGATTTTAGGTAAGTTAACATTTCATGAGGATCAACATTAACATAGGGTGTTTGAGCCAAACAACTTAACTCCCATAAAAGTACACCATAGCTCCACTAAAAATTTAAAAAGTAATTTGATATAATTATGTTTAGTATAAGCATTTTTAATATAAACATGTTTAATATAAACATGTTTAATATAAGCATGTTTAATATAAGCATGTTTTCATGAATTTTTTTCATGATAGATAGCGATGAAGTATGAAATTAAATAAAAGTATAAATTAAAAATATGTAATATATAATATAATAGTATTTGGAACATAAAAAGTTTAATATTTTATTACTTTGATTAAAGCATGTCCTACTTTTTTATATTATAATTTTTGTAATTTTATATAGGGTAAACAGTACAATTATTGACACTTAAGGTATTACTCAACTTCATGTGGGTCTTTCAAACATAATAAATAAAATACGCTTTGAAATTAAATGACATATTTAATGACATCTCTTTATTATTTTAACAATAGTGTTTATTTTATGAATAACCTCACCATTTTACAAAAAAAAATATTGGACACAAATGAATGATTAGAACTATGGATTATAATCGTTTGAAATTCATTGACTTTTTATAACTATATTTTGTACATACTTTGAAATGAAATTTTATTATTATACTTATGTTTTAAAAAGTTCAATTCTCAACTAATTTTGTAAGAAAGTTCGTTATTATAATGCACACACAGTACAGCACAATAAAACACCTTTTTGACATAAATATTGTAGAGTTAGCAGGTAAAGAAGGGATTATATGCATGGCAAAATTATTTACAATATTTATGACAATATTGTTAAGTTTTTTCAAATCTACTTTTTCAAACATAGGTTCTGTCTAATAACTTTTTAACCTAACTTTTTCTAAATTTTTAGAGTTTTTTTGTAATTTTTTTTATAACAATAACATGAATATTTTAATGTGAAGTCTCTGGAGAGTGTTATGCTAAAAAACGAAATTAGTTTTTTTTTTAAATCATAATTTAAAATGCATATAAAATACTGAGTGTAGCTCATATGCATTTAAAATTCTAATTAATATATTAATATATATTTTATGTTTATTCTTAATTTATGTATATTGATATAAAACTTTTAACTAAATTTAAAAACTTTATATATTTGTATTTATTTTATCAACTATGCATTATATTCCATAGGTCTACAAAGTTTATAACTTTCTTTTTTAACAACATTGATTTTTGTGTTTTAAGATTTCAAGTCATAAAACATCCTGGCATTGTTCAGAATTAAAGGTCTAACAGCTAACAGTTATTTTTAAAAATAAGTTTAGTACAAAATTAAAACAAATAAACTTTGATAAAATAGTATATTTGTTATTGATGTACAAATTGGACAACTACAGAGAAACATCCTGTTACATGCTGATGTTGCAATGTATGATGGGTAAAAAAGCTGATACTTATTATGATTATTGAAATGTGAAAAAATAAAAATATTTAATCTTTGTTTTTCTAAATAAACAGTATACCTACATTGATGTGAAGGGTTGGGCATTACATTACAGACCCAAACATGGTCTGTACTCTTATTTTTAAAGATATAAGGAAAATCTTATTTAACTAAATAAATAAAACGCTATGAGAATAACTGATTTTCATTGACAGTTTTGTTTTTCATGCCAAACTTACAACTAAGAACTTATACTTTTTTCAAACTTACACCTTAGAAGCTGAAATAAGAGTCACTCAAAACTTTGAAATACTTTTTGAAGTATGCAATGCATTAAGTTGGCTCAAAGAACTTTTTGATGAAAGTTATTCAATCAATGGGGAGTCAAGCTATGAAATGAGGATCCATTGCTAGACCCATCCATCCATCAGTTAAAAATAAAATGCATTATTTTGGGTCCATCAGTTCCATCAGTTAAGAATAAATCCATCCATCAGTTAAGAATAAAATGCATTAATTTCTTACAATCTATACAAACTTTGATTTTCTTGTTTTATTGGTAGTTTTTTTAACCATTCCAGCAAAAACATTATAACAGAAAGCTTTCAATAAAGTCTCTCTTACTAGTCTTCATATCTTCAAGTTTTTAAAATTATTGAATCCATTTTAACTGCATCATTAAATAAGTCTTTGATAGACAATAGTCTCCTTCATATTTAATAACTTTGGAGATATCTTAGTCTTGTGTTGTTTTTCATCTATATGAATGATCTTTTGGATAACAGTACTTCTTAAGTAACTCTATTTGCTGATGACACAAATACTACAGTATTGAAAGAACTTTTTAATCACACAAGCAGCTAATCTTGAATGTGATAAGCATGTTCTAAGCTTGGGGCTTACAGCATCTGGTGAATTTTAACCCAAACAGAACTCAGTTGTTTGTTATTCCTATATTGATAAACGGCAAAACTCTTATTAAGTCCTTTAAGTTATATCTTCTCAGATTATCCTTCAATACTAACCTCTAATGGAAACCTCTCCATTGCAAAGTTAGTATCTGCTAAAATTGTATCTCTTAATCATACTCACCATTTTCTTACTGATTCAATTCTCTAGCTCAATAAAAAGATTATTTTATAACTTTAAATTTTGCATTTATCTTTGTATGGAGTGCTGTTGTCAGCTGTTTCTTTTGATGAGGCTCTTTAAAACTGCATTGTAAATGTTTTAGGACCTACTCTCTCATATTGCCCTAATATTGCATCTCCTTTTCAATTTTAAGAAAACTATATTTGCTCAAATAAGCAATGATTACATGATTTCGGCATTAACCGAAATTCAATCTTGCATATAAAGTCATTTAGCAGAGACACTTTTTACTGTAAAAAACTTTTATATATTTTTTAAAACATCAGTGTTTTTAAAAAAAAAAAATTTTTAAAGATTACATCAAAAAAATGAGTTACCCATTACAGGCATGGTCCGGAAGCGGGTGCGATCGCACTCAATAACTGTAATAAATTTTTTGTATATATATAAATATTTCGCGGCCTCTAACATTGTGAGTCCCGAGGCTATAGCCCTTCTACCCCCCCCCCCCCCCACACACACACACACACCTCAATCCAGCACTGGAAATAAGACATGAGTATATAAATAAAAGTTATATGTTCTCAAAACGACTAAAAAATCTGGCTGGTTTTACGCAACTAAATACTATTTCCATGGTCAATTATTGAGTGTGACCGCACCTGCTTCCCGACCAAGCCTCCCATTAAAATATTTAAAATTTATTTAGATATCTTATCAAGTATTGTTTTAAGAATTTATTTGTGTATTGGTGAATTATTTGCTTTTCAAACCTTTTGAGTTTAACACAATTGATCTGATGATGCTTAAAATTTAATGCAAAAATAATAATCGTACACTAAAAAAAAAAAGGTTGTTATTTTAGTGTAAATTAAGCTAATTGAACTATCAAACTAGTAAGTAAAATTGAAAATAGTAATTTTTTAAATACACTTATGTATATTTAAAAAAATACTATTTTTAAAATATACATAAGTGTATTTAAAAAATTATGTTAATATTTTGTACTAATTAATATATATAATAATATAATACATTATAAATAAGCTTTTTTTTTATTAATATCTCTTTTTTTATTTATTTTTTACGATCAATTTAAAATCTTAGATCAAATCTATCTGGTCCTGAGTTTATTTGGGGTAATCATTTTTTCTGGTGATGTTAGGGGGATTCTTGAGATTCCTCCTTACTACCCTAGTTAAAACCAGTACTGTCACAATGGTTATTAAATATCACTTTGTTTGTGTTTACTTTGTTTAGTTTTATCTAAAAATAAGGAGTTGATTTAAAATAGCACCTTGTTATAAAAAAGCATTTCTGTGAATAAAAGAATTTACCATTGGACATTAACATTTGCTATATTAGTTTCATTAAGAAAGACAATTTTAATTAAGATTTTACTAAATGCTCAAGTTGCAAATTCTACACTATTTGTAAATATGTTTTAAAAAATTGTTTAAAGTATTTTAAACATTTTATAATTTTATATTAGTCATTTTAATTTTAAGAATTAAAATGACTAATATAAAATTTTAAAGAAGTTTTTAAATGTTTTAAATACTTTAAACGATTTTTAATCAATATTTACAAATAGCGTTGTATTTCCAAAATAAACATAAGTGTAATTATGCTTGTTTTCAAAAAGTTATTGTTTATATAATATAATATATTATATATACAATAACAATTTGAATACAAAACATAAGCGTAATGTATTTACTATTACTTTAATTTGCACAAAAACAAATTTTCCATACATTCTTTAAATTGAGTTTAGTATCAGCATTCATTTTTAAAATCTAAACTTGATTAGTAACTGAATGACAGTTTTGAACATAAAAAAAGATCATTTTATTGCCCTGAAGAAAAAATAAAACAGTAAAGATAAACAGATAATTAGTTATTTACTACTGTATTTGAAACCGAAATTTTTTTCTTATTTTTAATGAAAAAGCAAAAGAAAAATAATAAAAAAGCAGTTTTTTTACAGCTGCATGTATTTTTTATTTCACAGAATAATTTTCAAATGTTTTTATCTTTACACAATCACAAGAGAGATTACCATTTAAAGACTTCATTGCCTTACATATATTGAAGACTACAAAGATCTTCATTGACATATATTGGAGAAATTTGAGGAAAGAAATTAACTAAAAATAAAGAATAAATAATCCTTAGATCTGCCTCTGATTTATACAAAAAACATACTTACAACATCTGATGCATATAAATATGTATTTGTTTCTAAACATTCTGTTGCTAACCATCTAATTGGCCGATTTTCATTTTCATTAAGACAATGATAATCTCCTGGAAAGAAATCTTTAGATAAAGCAGTGTCGCATAATTTTACATGGAGGTCCTCATCAACTCTAAATTTTAAAAAACCATTTTATTTTTTAAGATACAATTAAAGAAAATACCTGGCTGTATCAAATAAGGCATTTAAACGCATGGTAAAATTTTATATTATTTATTAAAAACAAATAAATAATAAATTTATAAAAATAATTATTAAAAATTACACGCAATTTCTTGTAGCTACATCTTTATGAATAAAACGACGCTTCTGTAAATACTGCAAACCACGTGCAACTTGCAATGCCATCAAGACAATATCTTTTGTTGTCAATGCCTAAGACAATATATACTTTATTTTTACAAATCACAAAATTCAACGCAAAATCTTTTACCAATATTGTCTATACAATATATAGCATTTTGTACAATATAAAAAAACATAACTCATAAATTAGCATTGAACATAAAAACAATATTTGAAAATTTCTTTACCTTTGCTAAAGGTTCTGCAGTTCTTGACAATCTTAAATAGTTTTTCAAATTACCTCTATTAACGTATGGGTATACCATAAGAGGTATATTGTTATCGTCCAAACATACATGCATAAGCGTTAGAACATTAGGGTGATTGGTGCGCTTCAAAAGACTACTTTCATGTATAAATGAAATGACGTCTTCTGACGTAGCATGTTCTACAAAAAATTATAAAGTTAAAAGTTGTTTAATTAAAAAAAGAAACAACTAATAAGCTTTAAAAATGTTAATAAACAAACAAAAATACTAGAAATTTAATAACCTGTCACAGTTTTTATTAACACTTTTAGATCTTCACCACATTCTACATTAACAAGATTTCCAATGTATACCCTTCCGAATGATCCTGTTTAAAAATTATGTGTTATTGTTAAAAATTAACAAAAAATTAAGAAATAGAAATTAAATTAGCAATGGTTTTCAAACTTAGGTTTTTTTTTTAAGTCTTCTGTTGACTGTTTTCTTACTCTTTACTTCTCTACTTGCTAGCAACTCTTAACTTCTATAATTTCTAACTTAAATAGTTGCCTGCAGTTAAAAGTGAATTAGTTTAAAAAAAAATATGTATATCCCATATTACTTATTGTTTGGAATGTTTACTTTTTATTTTTTATATCAATATGTTTGTATTTATGCTAAATTTTAAATCAGCTATATCTTATAGCATATCTATTGGGTCTTTATTTCTGTATCACGCATATTGCACATTATATAAACATTGCTAAAGACATATAATTCTCTATTCTCTATAAGATATTTTAGTTGTATAGTATATATACATAAGATATATAGCCACATATAAAAACATTTAACATATAACACCAACATTTGTTTATGTTGTCGTGTATGACACAAAGAAATGATGTATAGTTTATTAGTTTTGTTTTTGGTAGTCAAAAATTTTATTAATGTTTAAAACTTGTGATACTAGTTATGTGTGTTTCTGGCTTGATACCAGGCTTGGTCGGGAAGCGGGAGCGATTGCTCTCGAATACTGACCACGGAAATTATATTTAGTTGCGAAAAACTGGCCAGGTTTTTTAGTTGTTTTGAGAACATTTAAGTTTATTTACGAAACAAAAAATTTTTGTTTTACGGACATACATGGAAACATAAAAAACTTAAATGTTCTCAAAACATCTTGGTGCGAAAGAATAAAAAGAATATTTGCGAACACTAAAAACTCGCCAAATTAACGAACAAACTAATTCTATTGGTTCAAAAAATACGCTGACTAAGCGAAATAAAGTTTTAGAGCATTCTGTTGAAATGTTTTAGATATTTTATTATTCACGATTTGTTACGTTTTCAGATTTCTAGCGTAATCCGTTTTAAGAATATATATTAATTGTTTACAAAAATAAATGTTTTAAATATATATTAATTATTTGATAGTTATATAATTATCAAAATTTTAAAAGTTCATTATAAATTATTGATTACATATAATTATTGAGTACATTCTTATTTTTTTAAAAAAAGTATGTATTCTTTATGTAAATGTAATTTTGTTGACCTGTTTTTTATCGTAATGTATCTTTTAAAGCAATTTTTACGATTTAAACAAAGACTCACAAAAATAATTGCGTTTTCAATAAAGTTATAATCGTTAAAATTAATAAAACTAATCATGTAACAAACATTTAAGAAGTTTCTGGGTACTAAACACAAACAACGCATACAAAGTAACTTGTGGATGAACAAGTACTGCGTCTGAGGTCACGACAGAACACAAATATATATAGCAAATAAAGAAAAGTTTCTAGATATTGGTTTACTAACTCTAATTATTTTCGCTTTAGTTGCCATTCTTAAAAACTTGTTATACTTTTTTCTGCTTTAATTACTAATTAAAAAGCCCACTCACTAAACATCATCAGCGATATTGTGAAGCAGTTTCGCTTCCTCGTCATATTTTTAACCTTTTCACCTATCTTGTTAATTTAATTTCTATAGTAATTCAATGATTTTTTTATTTCATTTGTTTATCTTACTAAGAAGAACTGCTTCAAATATGTTAAACTTTTCAAACTACGCGAAACATAAAATAGGTATTAAAAAAATTAACTTTTTTATTTATAAAATAATTTAGCTTAAATAAAACTAAAACTTGCAAACTTTGTTTAAAAAGAATATTTGCTTCCTTTTTAAACAATCGTAAGATGTTACTTTATATATAAAACATCGCTTAATTTTATAACAAAAATTATAAAAGCAATGTTTCAAAAATATTTGTTCTAAACGTAATTTATTTAGCTTTAAGTTTTTTTGAGTTTAAAGATATTATATTTGCCTAATTTTTTTTTTGTAATTGTCTCTCATCAGTCCAATTAATCTTTGGCGCTTTTTTTTTTTTGCTTGTTAAAATGTTCTAAAAACGACTAAAAAATCTGGCCAGCTTTTCCCAACTAAATATTATTTACGTGGTCAGCAATCGAGAGCGATCGCTCCCCCTTCCTGACCAAGCCTGTGATACCATTTTTATTTATTTAATACTATAAAATATGAAAAATCAACATGCTAAGGAAGAAAGTAAGTTTATTGGACAACCATGAAACCTCTTGTGAAAACTGCATATCAGCAATACTTTGGTATTAAGGTAGGGCACTAGGATAAGCTATGGGTTCTACATATATGGTGTAACTCTTGTTCCGCTACATTAAAAGAATGGTTGAAAAAAAAATTTTCTATCTGCCATTCAACAAAAAATTTGTCAAAGAAAATACAACAAAAATTATTATGTTGAATACCTTCTTGAACTGCATTGGAAATAGTAAGTATGTTTCTTCTGATCATAAGTTCTTTCAATCTAAGTAACAGTTCATGTTGCTTGCGTTCCGCTAATCAATTAAATAAAATAAAAAATTAATGACTATTTTAGTAACATCAAGTAACTTTCAAATAAAAAAATGAATATGATAAAAAAAAAATGATAAAAAATGAATTAGTTTTAATTTAAAAATAAATCTTGATTACCTACTGTTGCACGAAACACCTGTGTTATTGTTTGCGCATCAATGCTTGATTCACTAAACAATAATGCTAAAGTTACAAACTAATGAAAATTTTTAAACTTAAGTTCTTGCTCATCAAGGCTTTAGAGTTGGTCTAGACTAAAAACCATCAACCATAAAAACGCTACTTTGATCGACAACTGACTACACTCAGTCATGGACGCTAACCATTATTTTCTTTTTTTTATTTGTAACTCTACCAACTATAAACTCAAGGTTGCTGCACAAAGAAACAGGTTGAGTGTGGTACTTTCAGAAGTGTTTGTTAATTACAAACAAATTTAATAATAAAATAATTAATAAAATGTAAATATAAATATAATTGAGTAGAATTTCATCACCTTCCTATAAGTACATTTTTTGATTCATCGTCATATTTTGGCATAGAATGAACATGCAAAAAGGCAACACCTGCTGCTATAATAATAACTGAAGCACAGGCAACCCCAGCACCAATATATAAGTAACCTTTTTTGTCGCCATGCTCAACAGATTCCTCTCGTTCTAAAGTTATAAATTATTTTTTAATAGAAAATCAAAACCAAAAAAAAAAACAAATTAAATTATCTTTATTTTATCTTATAAATTTATTTCTTCTATATTATTTATACTACATTAGGCTTTAAATATATATATATATATATATATATATATATATATATATATATATATATATATATATATATATATATATATATTATATATATATATATATATATATATATATATATATATATATATATATATATATATATATATATATATATATATATATATATATATATATATTTAACCAAATTTTTAAAATTACAAATTTAACTATAATTTTACAAATCAGGTTAGGTGTCACACATATAGCTAAAAACTAGTCAAAGGAGTGGCACTTAAATAAAACAAACAAAAAATAAAATCAACAGCAAAATATTATTAAATAATACAAAGCATAAAGTAACATATATATATATGTTACTTATGTTTTGTATTATTTTGTAACCCATTAATATTATTTTCTAATATGTTACTGTTATTGTTATGTAAACTCTATCATTGTTATCATTATATATTGTGTTGTTATATATTATTATCACATATTATTTTAATAATATTAATGAGATTATTAGGTGTATTTTATATTTTCTTCGTTTCATTTTTTTATATATATATAAAAAAATGAATAAATAGTCTGAACCTCTCTACTTTGTTTTTAATATGATGGTATATAATTTATTACAAGTTTACACCTAAATGATTATGAAAGCTTTCTCCACTTAAACAGAGTGATTATATCTCTTTTTTATTTAATATGGCATAATGACAGATACAAGCTCATCATTTAATTAACGATAATGATATGATTTTTTTTTTTAAGGAAGTTGAAAAAAAGTAATCTGATTCCTAAACTGAACAATATCAACTAAGATAATAAAAAAATGATTGCACTAAACAAAATTAAATAACATAAAGTAAGGAAGTTTAATTGTAATTTATTTTCATTTAAACTTTAAATCAAAATATGCTGTACAATGGAAAAAGAGGGGGAGGGCGGAGCAAATATAAAAATTGTTACATTAACATCACTCTTTAGTTTGAATTAATTTATGCACCATTATCAAAAAAAAAAAAAAAAAATTATTTGCAAATGTTGATCAACAAATATTGTTTTTAAATATTAAAAACATTTCAAAAACCTTGAAAATATTTGTATTTTATAAAACAACTTTTATTTCTTTGAAATAAAATATTTATTTTCAACTTGATTGAAACTATACCTTTAACTAAAATATTAACCAGTTTTATAGCATCTCTATTTATTTCTTCAATGTACGAAGCTACAGGAAAAAAAAAAAAGTAATAAAAAATTGTAATAAACAATTTCAGACTCATCTCAAACAAAAAAACATTAATTATTCATTAAGTTAACAGAAACAGAATTTTCAATTGAAAAATGTTTATATGCTTCATTTATTTTTTGGATAGAAATTGTTAATCAGCTTTTAAAATTGTTGTTGTATTCTTATCCCATACAGTTTTTAAAATTCAAATTTTAAAAACTGTATGGGATAAGAATACAACAACAGAGCCAATATGGCTGAAAAATATAAGGCTGAACAGTTTTTTGTGTGTAAAATTAACATTTGTACATTCTCCAGTTGTGCTAATCATGCATTTAATCTTATTGAACCAATTCACCAGGATCTTGCAAAGAAGCAAAAACTTCTGTGTGCTTTGTGCTTGTGCTTTCCAGCAAATTTTAACTATCAAACTGTTCTTTAATTTTTTTAAAATATTTTAAAAACAAGATGGTCAGCAAGAATAGGCACTGTGGAACCAAAAGCTTATAATTTAAAATCTTTGCAATGTGCTATGAATGAAACTGATTCACAAAGACTTAAAATTGAAGCACAAGAACGGGTTTCTGCTTTTAAAGAAAAATTTTTTTTAATTTAAATGTGTTTTTATGTCTACAGTTTGTCCAAAATTACAAGTGTTATTGTATCAAAAAAATTTCCTTATCGCATAAAAAAAAAAAAAAGATATTTTAGAAACCTAATCAAAGAAAAAAAAACTTTAAAACAGGAATACTAATTTCAATCGAAATTAAATTCACGTTAGAATTTGAAAAATAATCTTTGACAAAAACCTGTCTGAAAATTACTTTTATTGAAAAAAATATTAAAATTAAAAATTCTGATAAAAAAGTAGAATCAGCAGTGGAAATTTTTAGAAGATCGTATACTTAAATGTATTTACCCATGCAATTTTAATCTAAGCACAAAATGAAGCAAATTATTAATAGAAATTATTAAATTCAATATGGGATTCATGAAATTCTTAATCATGCATTAGATTTTTGAATGCTTTTTAAAATTTTAAACATGATTACAAATTTAAGTGACAATAAAAAAATTAATTCCTTAAAGTAAAGTCCTTAATCTGAATACTTCAAGCTATAAAAATGCTTGTTTATTATTGAAATAAGGTTTTGAGAAACTACTGTTATTGACTTCAACAAAAATAAGGAATGAGTAACAGACAAAGATGTTGACTGATTCTCTGTATTAAGAAGTTAAATTGATCAATTGCAGTCAAGTGACAAGAACTCCAAATGACTTGAACTACATTTAAGAATTGAGTAATGACAAACAAAGAAATCAAATTTAAGATATTACTGAAGTAATACCTCAAGTTAAATTTAATGTGATTTAATTAATGGATAAAGTACATCACAATAAATTTACCTATAAACTAAACCAAAACAACCAGTTACTATAACAACCAGTGAAGTTACTACAGTAAAGTTACATTACTAAAAAATATATATAATATGCTCTAAGACACTCCAAAAGTTAGCATACAAATGTTTCTGTTTATATCTTTTATGTTAACACATAACAAGCTTTTTACTAAAAATTATTTTAACAAGAAATTTCAAATAGAATATGAAAAATGCAATTATATTTATATTTTATTTTCATTTTATTTATAGCAAAATCAGGATTCAACATTTTCTATAAAATGTTGTTTTTAGGAATTTATTTTAAAAAGAAATCAATTTGAACGAGAGAATTTTAGTATTCTAAAATTCTCTTATTCAAATACTTTTAAATTTGAAATTTTAAAGAAAAATTTAAAAACTTTAAAGAACTTTAACACTCACTTAATAAAATTATAGATTTAATTGAACGGAAACTGCAGCGACATTCCTAATACCCAGTGGAATATAAGGAATCATTCCTTAAAATCAAAGATCTAGCTACAGTAACTATCAGATTTAGAAGAGTGCAAGCAAGTAAGAAAGATGCTTTCTTAAAGCACATACTTAAACTTATGGAAATATAATTCAACTTACTAAACAAAATTTTTTCTCTCACTTATTAGTAAACAATTTGAACGAAAAAATTGAATGAAAACATTAAAAATCCTTTGAATAAAACAGCAATAAAACAATGTAGCGAAGTTATTTTATATTAAAACAAGGTTTTTTTATTTACAAAACAACTATTATATTTAATATAATATATAACTATTATTATTTTGTTGTTTTATGCTTTTCACACTAACAATTTAATACAATTTAAAAATAAAACGTGTTTTATTGTCAGCACAAATGGGATATTGTTTTTTTTATAACTGATAAAGTGTTTTAAATAATATAATATTTGCAATTTTACTTTTACTTTTTTTTAATTATCATGTTAAGTAAAAAAATTTTTTTAATGTTCGTCCCTCCCCCCCTACTAACCCTCTTTACCGCAATAGGCTGACAGGGAGGGGGGATTTCAAAAACATTTTTCTTAAAACAGCTTTTTTAAATAGAGGTTCTCCAATTCCTAAATATGTTTTATATAAAATATTACTGGATTAAAAAAAGTTTTAAATGATATTCAAGGGCCATAACGAAGAAAATCACGAAAAGAATCCAAGTCAGCTTTAAGGTAGTTGTAAGATGTATGATGATAAGGGGATTCTGATGATAAAAAAGAATGAGATAATAGTTTTAGAGAGACCAAACTGATCAGAGGCACCTAAAGGTGAATATGGAGAAACTGAGCACCGACTAGGATCAGAAACAAGACATAAGTCGAGTAGAGAAGGTAAATGATTTGGTTTGTCTGAAAAGCGAGTTGGACTATTTGAGTTTGGGATTGAGAAAGGGACTATTTGAGTGGGCTTTAATGCCATTCAGTGTGATGAACATTAAAGTCACCGACAACGACAACATTGGCTGATGGATAAAGAGAGAGGGCTTGGTCAATATAATCAGAAATAAAATCAAGAAGAGTGCAGTCTTGAGACGAAAGCACATAAAAGAGTAGTCTGTGGATTCAAACCTAAATTCCCGACAAATGGGTGATTTCTTACGAATGTAAATGCTCAGGCCAAGCATGTGACTATTCGAGTCTACGAATTAAAGGAAGATAACCATCAACACTTAGGTCACAAGGTGAGACAGCTGAACTCAATTAGTCTTACAAAGAACAAGTAGATCTGGTGAACTTTGCAAGAAATAAGACTCAACAGAAGAAAAGTTACTTCAAAGACCAAGCATATTAGTGAATGATAGGTTTAGCAAACTTGGTGGTGACAGTGATCTTTTGTGTTTTTGTTACTTTATTATTTTTTAAATTGTTAAAGAACTTGACTCAAAACATAGATAGTACTAAACATAGATATTTACAATCAAAAGACTAAAAACTGTGTTTTCTATTTAATTCAAATATTGCATTAATTTTTGGGGCACCCTTTATAAATATATTTTTAAAAATGCTTTTGGATAGTATTAGAGACCTGTCTGATGCTTCAATCCTTTACCACTATCTAATATATCTGCATAAAACTCTTATTCCTCTAGCTTTTTTTCTCAAACATCAGTTCTTTTGAATTCGCTTCCTTCATCTTGTCTTCCTGATTCATATAATTTGCAAGTCGTCTGTCAATCGTTATCTTGCTCTACAATCTTCACCTTTTCTCTTCCAGTAACTTTCAACACTAATTAGTGGTTGCTTGCAGCCTTGTTGGAAGCGAGGATGTATATAAAAAAAATCTGCGTCAGCCAAACTTTGATTATTTTTGAAATAATGTTCAATAATGAAGGAACCTTGTTCTACCATGTAACACTCCATTTTTACTAACCCTAAACTGTCAGCTTTTGATTTGTTTTGTTTTTTAAAGTGTTGTCAACACTTTACGACATAAATGGCAGTTTCTTTAAATCTTGCATTCTCATTCATTCTTGCATTCATTCATATCCAGATTGTACTAGTCTAAAATCAAACCCCACTATTGGTATTAGTACTAAAGCCATCATGAATTGGTGAAGTTATCATGAATTGGTGAAGCCATCATGAATTGATGAAGCCATCATGAATCACTATGTTGTCATAAATGATGTTTCATGCAGAATATTCACTATATGTAAGCAACTACATACATGCAAATATTTGTAACATAATAATTATACAGTGCTGGAAATAATTATTTTAAGGTTGTGGATCAACACTAATTGGATAAAATGAAAAATATTCTAATTATTTTCCGGATCATTAAATTTAATTTCAGTAATTTTCACTTAATTTTTAAATTCATAATATTTTATGCATTAAACTTTTTGTATTTTCACAATATATTATGAGGGTTATTTAATAAAACCTAATAACCCACAAAATATATTATGAGGGTTATTTAATAAAACCTAATAACCCACAAAATATATTATGAGGGTTATTTAATAAAACCTAATAACCCACAAAATATATTATGAGGGTTATTTAATAAAACCTAATAACCCACAAAATATATTATGAGGGTTATTTAATAAAACCTAATAACCCACAAAATATATTATGAGGGTTATTTAATAAAAACACAAAACAACTCTGATTTAAAAAAAAATATTTAGGAATAATCTTTTAGTGAAATACAATTTTTTATATTTTGCTTTTAACTCTTTATAACATATTCACTTCTCCATATACCTTTTTTATTATTTTGAATAACTCAAATCAAATAGCTAACAAAAATTATATTTCCATTATTGAGGTGTTGAAAAAAGTAAAACTTTCTTTCGTTAAGTTTTACTTTTTTCATAGCAGGTTATTCCAATACTAATTTCTTATAAAATTAAATAACTGTTTGACATTTTTCCTGTTTCCTCTTTTTGGAAAAGATAATGATTATGATTAGGACTATTAATGGGTCTTTCATTCAATTTTATTCAAAAAAAATTCAATTCATTCATAAAGATTCATTTAACACTTTTGAAATAAAGTTAGAAAGAAGTCTATTATACTCTCAAACTGTGTTTATTTCAATATATAAAAACATTTGGTACTTTTTATCATTCGATATTTCTGCATATTGAATATAACTTGAGCTTTTTTTACTCTGTAAACTAAAGATTGTTATGGTTTTTAACTTTGAAAGTATTGTATGAACATAATTATACAATAAAATTAAAAAAATGTATTAGACTAAAAAATATGTTAGTTCAATTGCTTAAAAAAATCAACATGTTGTTTTTTTAATTAAAAAAATATAATACATTTTATTATTATAAATATAATACATTTTATTATTATAAATATATTTTTATTTAAATAAGATAAGAAATAAAAATATAAACTCACAATCCATACACATTTTTGTAAAACTGAATTTTAACTCTAGTAATGTTTCAGAATCATCTACAGAAAGATTCATATGAAGTTCCACAGTTGACGATCCTGTAATCTTTTCTTTGCATGTTATTTTTAACTTAAACTCTAGTAGAAATATATATTTTTAATGCATAATAACAAAAATACCTAAATATATATATATATATATATATATATATATATATATATATATATATATATATATATATATATATATATATATATATATATATATATATATGTATATATATATATATATATATATATAGGCTTGGCCAGGAAGGCGTGCGACTTCAAGTCATAATATGACCACGCAAATACTATTTGATTTTAAAAACTTGACCACAGCTGTTAATATGTTTTTAAAATTTGTATACGTTTTATATATATATATATATATACATATATATATATATATATATGTGTATATATATATATATATATATATATATATATATATATATATATATATATATATATATATATATATATACAGAGAGAGAGAGAGAGAGAGAGAGAGTTAGACATTTACAGACTACTTCTGCAGTCCTAATTCTTTGCATTATTTGAAAGATTTGTCAAATAAATTAATTTAGAACTTGCAAAAGCACAAGGCTTTTATAACAAGTTAGGTTGCTAAGAAAGATGCTGGTAAATTCAATTTTAGTTCAAATCTCATTAAACGATACTGTTTTTTTTTTTTTTTTTTACACAAAAAAATATTTAGAATTTTATTGTTAATCTTACCCTAAGTATGATTCCAAGATGTTCAAATTCTATACCCTGTTCTATACAGTAATTATTTTCAATTTCTGCCCTCGAAATTAGGAAAAAGTTGGCAATAAATTGCTGACCTTAAACTGTTAGAGGTTGGCAAAAACTTAAATTATAAAACATAATTTTATAATTAAATACAGGTAGAAACATCCTAAAAACCGCTCAGACATTTAGTGTGCTGTGGCCAGCTCAATATAAACATAGATGTTAACATTTTTCTGCATCTAAATGTTCAACATACTGAAAAAAAAAAAAACAAGCTTTGCTATCTTTATAACTTAACGTTATGTTTTAAAAAACCCTTTTAAAAATTTGCCCTTATTTTTCATATCAAAATTTTCAGTAAAAATGAAAAATATATCAGACTATGTTTGTTAAATTGAATTTTTAAAATGGTCTACCTTTTGGACAATAAAAAGAAGAAATTATTTAAACTATACTTTGTTTGATAATACTGGTGAGGTAAGTTTAATCAAGAATATGAGGTAGTTGTGGGTTAATAGTATAATAATAGAGAGGTGGGTTTAATAGTGAGGTGGTTTTGGGGTGTATTTAAAAAATGAATTTAAAAGTCAAATACTACAGCTTACTACATCTTAAATTTGTAAATATTGTTTTTAGTTATACTTTTAAATTACTTTAATACTAATGACGCAAACTTTATTTTAACATTTTATTATCAAATTATGGTTCAACTTGAAAATGTTCATCAATAATCAAATTTAGATCAAATTTGCTGAGCTATTGTGGTAAAATATTTAAAGAAGTGATACAGGATTACATGGATACAGTGGCATAACCTATTTTTGCTTTTAAACAATTTGTTTACAAAGCTGTAACACTATTTTGATCACTGAGAAGACAAAGGAGATCTTTCTAATGAACAAAGGAGATCTCTCTGATGAATAACAAATTTGATCTTTTGGTTGCATAATTATAGCATACCATTTACCTGATATATATGTTTTTTTATATATTTTGTGGAGTCTTGGCAATAGTTTCACTATTGTTGTTGCAATTTTTTTGTGGTAAGAAATCATCTAGATTTAAATAGTTTTAGATTTAACAGCTTCTGAATCTTTACCACTATCTAATATATCTGCATTTAATATACCACTGCATCAAGTCTTTTTTTTTGGTTCACCATTATACTTTGTAAAACCACAGCAGGAAAATCATTGTAGATTTTTTCTTCTCAACACCACAATAAAAAGAAACCTGTGAATGAAACAAAAGGATAGGTAGTAATGCATTCTCTGTTGTATTTTTTTTTTGCAGTAAAGACCAAACCAGAATAAGTTCCACCAACACGATAATGAAATGAAGAATTTTTTTAATAATTAAAAACTCTTTTCATGCTAATAATTTTGAACAAAACTCTTTCTCAATTTGCTTCTGTCATATTTCCAGCTGCAATAAGTTTCTCTACAAGTGCACCTACAATTTAATTGGTAAATTGTTTAAATACAATTTAATTGGTTAAATTGCAATTTTCTTTTGGGAAGAAGTTATTAGTTTTAGATTTAACAGCTTCTCCTCTGAATTTTTACCACTTTTTAATATATCACTGCACCAAGTATTTTAATATATCACTACATTAATATATTTACTTACCTTAATAATATATTTACTTACTTAAAACATTTACTTTGCATCTAGTTTTATTTTAATATATCACTGTATCAAGAATTCAAATATATATCTCTGCATGAATCCTTTTTTTGATTCACTACTGTACTTTGTATATCTACAGCAGGAAAATCATTGTAGATTTTTTTCCCTCAACACTGCAATAAAAAAAACTAAGAAAGAAACAAAAAGATGGGAGAGGCGTTCTCTGTTTTTATCTTTTTGCTGCAAAGACCAAACCAAAATGAGTTTCACCAACATGATAACGAATTGAAGAACTTCATCATTATTAAAAACTCTTGTTGTGCTTATATTTCTGTTCCAAATCCCTTTCTCAATTGGATTCTGTCATAATTCCAGCTGCAATAAGTGCATCTACAATTTAATTGGTTAAATTGTTTATACTTATTAGCAAAAATAAAACTTTAAAATGAAGAAAGAAGCTTTACTAAGAAACAGATTGTTACAAAAGGTAGGGTAATGATTTATTTTCTTAAAATACAACACTTTTCTTATAATAAAATTTACAGTCAGCACAATTTATTAGGCGTGCGCGATTTTGAAAAAAATGTTTATTTAGTATTTAAATTAAAATGGCAAAGAAAATGTTTTAATTCTAAATGAAAAAACAAGATAAAAACAAAAATTCTAAATAAATTTAACATTATTTACAATAAAACAAAAAAACGGCAAATAAGAAACACTTTATTAAAGTTCTAAGTAAAATAATTAAAATCAAAGTAAAAAGATAAACATTTTATTTAAATTCTAAATAAAATAAAAATATTGTGCTAATAATTTTATAAGTTCTACTTATTTTGTAACTAATGTAACAATGTTATAGTTTTACTACTATTTGAAGAATGTAAAAGTGTTATAATGAAGGATGTAAAAGTGATATAACGAAGGATGCAAAAGTTATATAATGAAGGGTGTAAAAGTGATATACTGAAGGATGTAAATACATAAAAAATTTATGATTTTTCATAAAAGTAATTGATGAACAAAAAAGAAATGCCGCGCTTTAAAAAAATGCAAGCATTTTTTTAGCAAGTGCGTAAAAAAGCACTCTCAAAATAAATATGCAGGAGTGTGGGTGAGTGTAAAAAGGCTCAAGCGCGAACGCACTGGTTAAACAGAGAAAACTGGACAGGGGTACTTTTCAATAACAAACAAATAACAAGCCATTTTTCTTATATAAATTAAAGATTGACAGTTGCCCTTGATGTTTAACTGTTAAACTTTCATGTTTTGCATCAAATCTAAGCAAAAATGAACAAACAAATGTAAAAGAAAAATATTATACAAACATAGATCAAAAAGTTTTTTATAATCTTTAAAAATATTCACAGTGAGTAATTACAAATAGTATAACTTGTGAAAAGTAAAGTATGTGTAATATAACTCAGCTATACAAGTGTTAAAGATACTTAAAATTCGTCAACATACAATTGATTCTTCAATTCCAATTTAGCAGCAGATCATTGGTAATATTTTTGTCTTTATTTTAGCCTCATGTTGGTGCAATTCCTTATTTTCAATGCCTTTAACAATAATTTGATTATTTGTACTTTATTGATACCTTGCAAGGATCTATTTTTATTTTTCAAAAAACGTTTGGCAATAGAATTTTCAAAGATTTGAAATAATCAAGGATATAGGACAAAAGATGTTAATAAATATTAAATCTAGACTTTATTGTTTTAATTGTCATTTTAAAATTACAATATTTAATTAAATTGCTCAAAACAATAATGTTATAAGACTTCTGAATGGTTTGTCACTTATTGGTTCTAACAATATATCTTCACACTTTCTACATGCTTTTTTTCTACAAAACTTTGGCGAGCGCATAAAAGTGCTTGCCAAAAAAAATAATAGCACTTTGTTTCAAATTGCAACAAAACTTTTTTGTTCATTTCTTCAACTTTTATGAAAAATGGCTTTTTTACCAGTTTTTTTAAATTATATATCTAGTGCTTATTCAAAGCATTCTTTTTGCTGTTTGTGATTCAACTTAAATAGCAGAAAATTATTTTTCGCGCAGGCTAACTTAAAAATGACTGCAAGCGTCTTTTTGTGTGTTAAATTTCAAACGGAGAAGACTGTATAATATTAGCAAAATCAATAAAATTAAATAAAAAAACTGATACCTTCTTCTTCAAGAACAGGTAATTTACCCATTTCGCTTAAATTAATCTCAGGAGAATTGATTATATGAAAATCATTTGTATATAGATGCATACTGTATAAAGTTGGCAGAGTAGGAGAGTTTAACTATATTAAAAACAAGTAAATTTTTTCAAAAAAAAAAATAACTATACTCCAACAGTTGACATCAAAATATTCTGTCTAAATTTTATAAATATTAAAACAAATATCGCGTCTAAATGTTAATTGTTAATTCTAAAAATGTCTAAATGTTAACTTTAAAAACATTTAAAACAAACACACAAAAAAAGCAGTCAAACAACAACTTACAATGTTTGTTGGTACTAACTTACAAAATCAGTTTTAATAAATGTCAACTTTAATTCATTAAAACATTACAAAACAAATCCACTACCACTTTGTTTTAGAGTATTCTGTATTTTGCATACTATTAGATGGATACTATGTTATTTATTCCATAACCCATAAGAATCTTTTTTAATACAGTACTTTTTTAAAATAGTACAGCTTATGTCAAAACCATTACTATTAATTGAAGAAACTAATTAACTTGGTCATTTTTTAAGAAACCATAAAAGTACAAATAAAAGACTAGAATGTTTTATGAAACATACAGAGTGTTTTAATTTTTATTTTCTTCAAATAAAAACATTCCGAATGTTTTTATTTTAATTTTTAACTGTTAACATACATTGAATGACAATTATGTAGAACATGCCTTCGCATGTGTTTGCTACATCGACTGAAAAAAAGGTAAACATGCAGGGGGTGCTGTTACATCTATTAGAGATTTGGTTTTGGGCAGGCAGTCTATCAAATAAAATAATTTTTTTTTTTTTTTAACTTTTTCGTATATATACGTATATATATATATATATATATATATATATATATATATATATATATATATATATATATATATATATATATATATATATATATATATATGTATGTATATATCACAGTGAGCCATAAAGACCATCAGGTTCGAAATCTCACCACTTCAGATTTTTTTTTTTTAAGTAACATAAGTTTGTATAAGCGTTTTTCAAGTACAAACCAAATCTGACCTCGATCAGAAGAGTTAGTAATTTAAGTTTAAAAAAAGTAATAAAGGACTAAAAATTTAGTAATTAAAACGAAGTAATCCACCATTTTTGGTTTCTATTTTTAAAATAATTTTGAACTGATAAGTAAAATAGTTGGAAAAAAACCACAGAGCGGTAAAAATGGCGGATTTGAAGCAGTCTGTTTGTGCAGTTTGTTTGGGAAAAAAAGGCAAATATTCAAAATCATTATTAAAAGTACAATGATTAATAGCAAATAAAATCAAAGAATATATTTGGCCTGAGTACAATGAAAACTTTTTTAGCGTGAAGTGAGCTGCGGTTCACTCCTACCCGTAAAGGAATGGCTTATTCCTCCCCTAGCTGTATAACTGGATTAAAACATTAAATGTGCAATAAGTATGTGGTTTATGCATGTAAAGTAGTTTGTTCTAAAAATTACATTGTTTATTAGTAAATTTTGAACCACTATCTAATGTCTCAAAACAACCAGTATGCTCGTTAAAGAAGTTTCAAAAAATACAAAAAATTTACTTTTGAAAAGATTGGATGACAAGGTAAATGCAGAAACCCGCACCAAGAAGCAGTAAAAAAATTGGATGGTGTTAACAACTATTTGTATGTAACTACTTGGTGAAAATTTTGAATCTTTTTAATTTCCCATTTTAGCTGTAGGATCAATGATTCACTCCTACCCTTGGCTCACTCCTACCCATCCTCCCTTACTTATCTGTCAAACTGGACGAGTAAAGTATCTCAAGTACAGAATTTATTAAATTTAAATGACTAATACATAAATAAATAATAATTTTTTATCAAGTATACATTTCTGAATTAGGTTGACAGGCCAAGAATTAGATACAGTACTGAACTTAGTGATATTGTTCAACCATCTCGTGGTAAAACACTAGCTGCAGAATCTCCTAAGAAAAATATATGCAGTTGCTGCTTTTTTCTCCTTGCAAGAGGTTTACAAATAAATATTAAATTTTTTGATAAGTAAATAAAAAGTTGTCAAATATTTATGTATACATACATATTTAATTATAATTATGTAAATTGTAAACAATATGTAGAATTATACATCATTAGTTTTTTCAATTTTAATTTATATAACTTCAATAAAAATAACCCTTATTTTTAAGCTTAATAAGTTTATATAAATTTTATATTTAATTTTATTCTTCAGGAGGTCATAGCAATTGTAGTTCTGGTCAGGCTGTTTTAAACCTACTTAATTTGTCAGAAAACCTTAATTCCACATTATGTGAGTAAGTTACTTCAGGCATAATAAAAAACAAGATGAAGCAAGAAGGTACAGAGAGTGGCCAATCCTTATCAACAGGCAACTAAGTTTTTATTTTCATTATAAAATTGTTGATAAAAGATTTAAATGATTATATAGTCTATATTATATATTGTAAAACTTAAAGGCATACAAAAATAGATATGAGGCTTATAATTGAATAATTATTTTGATTATTAATTTTTTTGAAACATTTGTATTTTAACATTAGTTATGGTAAAAAAAATATATTTAATTTAGTTATACTTTATTTTTAAAGTGGGAATCCATTAACTTTTAACTGTTGGAACTAAAGATAATAAATCTTCCAGAAAATCTTTCAATTAGATATCATTCCAAGCATGATGACATCATTGCAACAAGAAATCAAGAATAGAGTCTAAATATAAAATAGAACAAGATGATTTAGTTTGGAATGATGAAACTATAACAAGAGATATAGTATTTATTCATTACGCTTCTGAATTTATTCTTAGTATTTTAATGGAAAAAGGTTTAGATCCTCTTTCCAGTATGGTACGTGTATCCATTGATGAAGGTCAAGGATTTCTTAAAGTAATTGTAAATGTCTTTGACAAGAATAATACAAATGAGATACACATTAACAGTGGAGAAAAGGGTTTTTTACATTTAAATTGTGGAAGATATTTCTAAAGACCATGGAAATCTGCAGAAAATCTTGAGTAGAATAAATCTAGATGATGTTACCTATCACCTTGCATTTGATTTAAAATGTGCTAACAGCATTTTTGGAATATCTTTTCATTCTGGTAAATATGTCTACTTATGGTGTGAAGGTGAATATACCCTAGAAAGTGGTATTCCAAGAACATTAGGCTCTTTTATTCATTGGTAAAAGTTATTTGTTGAAAAGGGGGCAAAGCGATTGCAGATAAAAGATTTAAAAAATGTGATTAGTCCTCATCTTGTTTCTTTTGATAAAAATCCTGAAGTTGAAACTAGTTCACTTAGTTCCACCACGAGAATTACACCTTCTTATAGGGATTGTGACACTCTTTTTTTTGGCTCAAAGAGCAATTTGTAAACAGATGCCAATGATCTGGCCTCTGTTTACGAATTGCTCTTTGAGCCAACTCGTAAACAGAGGCCAGATCCTTGGCCTCTGTTTACGAATTGGCTTAGCATCATATTTTACTTTGAGGTTATCATGGGATAGGCTTTGATGGCAATAATGCCACAAAACGTTTAGAAAAAGTAAATACTTTAGAAATAGATGTTTTAGCATCTCAAAATAATTTGATAACTATTGTTCATTGCCTAAGAAAGTTTTCAAAAGTTAAAGAGTGCACATTTGGACAAGAATTAGCCAGTAGTGTTTCTTCAGTTATTGAAGAGTTTAAAATATCATTTTTTGACCTACAGCAGTATGCAAAAATACATTTAAATGCAGAGCTGAATGTTACTTGGAAGGTACATATAGTGGTTTACCATATTCTCCTATTTATGAAATTTAATTCTTGTTCTCTTGGATCATATGCTGAACAGACTGGAGAGGCTGTTCACAGCGTCTTTAAACCAAGTTGGTCTCAATATAAACAAAGGATTGGGCATATAGATTATGGCAAACAATTAAACTCTGCCACTATCACTTTTTGCATAGATAAGATATAAATATTTCAATATATAAGTAGTTGTGTTAATATTTTTATTGCATTCATTGTTTTTTCCTTGTTATTTTTCCTTTGAATTATTACTATAAGGGACTTTGATGTATTTGAAGTTGAAATCATTTTAAGTTTATAGTAATAGATTATATTATAATACTTTGAAGAGTATAATAAAAAAGGATATTTTTAAAATAATAATAGAAGGGGTTACCTTTTTAGGGGGTAAATAGGGTTTTAAAAAATTAAGTTTTTTTGATACTTCTGATCTACTTTAGATTTATTTAATACACAAAAATTACATATTTAAGTAGCATTTATCTTTATATAAAAAAAATTAGAGGTGGGGAGAAGTTCAAACTGGCGGTCTTTATGGTACAAAATGATATATGTATATATATATATATATATATATATATATATATATATATATATATATATATATATATATATATATATATATATATATATATATTATATATACATTATATATGTATACATATATATATGCTATATATATGTATATGTATATATATGTATATATATATATATATATATATATATATATATATATATATATATATATATATATATATATATATATATTTACTATTGCATGGTTGTGATCAAGTTTTTACCATAAAATGTCAGTTTTAGGTTGTTTTTTATTTTAAAGACCAGAAAAACTTTTTTTTTTTAAACTATTTGATAGACTGCCTGCCCAAACCAAACCCTCAGTCGATGTAGAAGCACTCCATTGCGAGTCAGGCTATAAGATAGTTGATGTAGAGACACTCAGCACATAGTTAATTTCCCCCAATTAAATTAATGCATTTTAATTTTAACTACTTCTCGCAATTAAATTAATGCATTTTGACATAATCTAACATCAATTTTTTCAGCTTTAATACCACAAACAAGCGAAGAGCCATTTTTTACCACAAACTGTATATCTTAGCCCTTTACACACACACACACACACACACACACACACACACACACACACACACACACACACACACACATATATATACACACACACACAGAGCAGGTTAAAAAACAATAACTAATGTGTATTTACCTTTTTATCTTGCCAAACAAAAAGCACATGATCAATATTTTCTGGTATCATTAAACTATATCTAACAGCCATCCAATTAACATGCCCATTTCTGATATAAAACAATTCACCATCTAATCCTAAGTAAAAAATAAATATCCACAGTTACTGGGGAATTCTGTTGGATACACAACAGAATAGGTGTAACAATCAACTTTTCAAAAATATTGGTACCCCATTGGGTCTACAATCAGTATAAATAGTAGTGTAAATAGTAGTGTTGTTACAGCTATTAAAAAATTCAACTGTCAACTAAATGGACTAATACATTTTTGAGATCGACTAAGTCTACAAAAAGTCGTATTAGTCGAAATATAGAAATATTTTATTTTTTTGAAATAAATTGCAATAAAAATAATAAAGTAATTTATATTTGCATTCTATTTTTTAACATTATACCATTTAAATATAATAGAGAAATACAATATGAGAGAAGGGCCACTCCGAACAGGACAATTTATTCCCAGACCTCAATGATTTAGGGACTGCCTTAAATACTTGCTATATATCAAAGTCTTTACAAAGTCTTTTTTTTTGTAGTTGTCAAAGTCTTTTTTTTTGTAGTTGTTAAGGTGCTCCCAGAAGTCTTTACAGTATTACATAGAGCACCGCAAAGGAGCATAAATAATTAAATTTAGTCTAAGTTTATTTTTTGTTTCATAAAAATTTACAAATAAGTACATACATAATAAAGATTTGTTAATAGTGAATATATAAATAAAAACAAAATATTGCAAAGTGGTTTTATAAAAATAAAAAATTCACTCTAACATTGTAAAAAGAAAGTCGAAAACTTGCAGAAGACTAAATGGTCTTATCATCAAGAACCACTTTACATTGCCGTAAATATTTAAACATATAAGATTTTTACATAAAATCATTACATTATAATGGTATTAAGATGTCAGATCAACAAGTATACAAATATCTTTTTTTTTCAGTTACTAATGCAATGTTGAAAATACATTTAATAAAAAATAAATTAAGCTGGCAGAGAATAAATTTAGAAAAAATTATTAACTAACTTTTTATACTTTGAAATACTATTTTTAATACATATTTAAAGCAATTTAAGTTTTTAAAATCAAATTAATTTGTAAAAACTTATTTCAGATATGAGGTGCATGATAAGTAATTAAAATAATTTATTTAAATTTTATAATAATAAAATTTAAATTTTAAAATAATTAGATAAAACTTTAAGAGAGTAAACAAAAACTAGGTTATACTAGTACATACTATTGTTATTAAATGAACAAAAAAAACTTAAAAATTGAAAAATTAAATCAAATGAAAAGAGGAATTTTAAGATTTTTACTCAACTAAATCGACTTTTAGTGGATTAGTATCGTGGATTAGTATCGTGGATTAGTATCGTGGATTAGTATCGTGGATTAGTATCGTGGATTAGTATCGTGGATTAGTATCGTGGATTAGTATCGTGGATTAGTATCGTGGATTAGTATCGTTAAATCGTGGATTAGTATCGTGGATTAGTATCGTTAAATCGTGGATTAGTAGGAAGTCCATAGTCAATAAAATTGACTATTCGATTATTCAAAGTTGACTAATTTGGACTTTTGACTAGTTAACATTTAGTAGATTTAGTCAAAGTCGATAACAACACATATAAATAGGTGAAACATCCTCTGCAACTGGAAAGTTCCATTGACTTCAATGGATATAAAAAATGGATATTAAAGGCTCCTGGAATATTTCTCTTATATAAAGAAATGGAAATGCTATGTTAGCAACCGGCAACAAACACATTGGAGGCATTGCCAAAGTATTTAATGAAGAAATTGCTAATCTGCTTAATGCTTGACAAAACTGAATAGCTTTGCAGAACCTTAACAAATATTTGGCCAATCATGCAAAAAAAACAAATTTTGGAAAAACATGTTTTATTAAATATTTCAAATACAACTCAATTGTATTGTAGCTGCAGGCTTGGAAAGGAATAGCGTGCAATCGAGCGCTATTGCTGACCATGCAAATGATTTTTTTTTGACAACTTGACCACAACTGTTTAGATTTTTAAATGATTTTTTTACATTTTAGAAATGTGTTGAAAAAAGAAACTCTAGCTAAACTTAAACTAGGAAGAAAATTAAAAATATATTAATTAATAAAGAAAATAATTCTTTTCAAAAAAGAAAATATAAAAGCACTAAAATAAAATTTACTTTTTGCTACACTTTTAATTGCATTTAAAATAATTTATTTAAACTTTATAATAATAAAATTTAAATTTTAAAATAAATTACTTAAAATTTATCTTTTGAAACGTTTTATTAAAGTTACGCAAAACGCCTTAACAACTGAGTTTTAATGATTGTTTAATAAATGAAAAAATTGTATTTAATTTATTAAAAAGTGTATATATATATATATATATATATATATATATATATATATATATATATATATATTATATAATATACTTAAAAAAAGTATATATATATATTAAATAAGTATATATATATATATATAAATATATATATATATATATATATATATATATATATATATATATATATATATATATATATATATATATATATATTATTTTTGAATAGCATAAACATTTATTTTTTCAAAAAGTTGTAAAAAAAATTGTTTGAAAAAATACCGTAGTTTATTTTAAAATTGTAATTTTTAATCATTTCATGGTTTGATTAGTTAGTCAAGTTAAAAAAAAAAATTCCAACAATTCTTTGTAAAAATAGAAACAAACAAACAAAAAATAATAAGCAATTAACTCATTCCATTTGCCCCATAACTTCATTCCATTTTCCCCATAACTTCATTCCATTTGCCCCAAGAAGATTTAATTCAGCTTATTCATAATATAAAGTAACTTAAAAAATTAACTTTCAAAAGATTTTTAGAAAGACATGGAAAAATAGTTTTAAACAAATTATTATATTTAAATTTATCATAAAACATGCTTACAAAAAAAAAATTAAATATAATATTTTTTAATTTACACAAAAAATGTTTATTTTAAACAATCGCTATAATTACATTTTTATTCTACTTATTTTACAGTCTTCGCTTGAAATAAAAACTTAAGAAAAGATCAACGAATAAAGTTATTTATAACATAACAATTTTTTTAAAAGCATTTAAATTGTTAAAACATCAAAACTGCCGAGGTCAAATTGTAAAGAAAAAATATCAAAAACGTGGTCAGTTACAGAGAGCGATCACACGCCATTCCTGTCTAAGCCTGTAGCTGGTAGCTATGGTACAATAATTTAAATTTAATATATAGTCTAATGATAAAATAAGTTAAATGTGAAATATATCACCAAACTTAAAATATCAAGTAAAATTTACATAAAAAAGATATTTTATAGAAGTAATAATGGAGATTTCCATTGTTGCTGTGGTAAAATAAATAAATTTCTCTACAGAGAAAGTTCCGCCATTTATGTTTGTGATTTTTTATATCTCTATACAAAACTCTACGATAATTTATTATGGAGAATTATTATTATATAATCATACTATAATAATAGAAATAGCAATAAACAGTAATAGAAATTACAATAAACAAACCAATAATTTTAGTCTTTTACCTAAGTAAATAATCGTTTAATGAAAAAATAAATTATTTCTTCATTAAACAATTATCACTTGTTGCTCTCAAGTTATAATGTTTAAACAATTTTTCACCCCTTTCTAGTGATTGACTGTTTCTATTAAGTTTATAAGTAAATAAAGTCTTTTATTTTCTATCCAAAAAAGCAGCATTGGCATTGAAAAAACCAATAAAACCTCCTATAATAATCCTATCCTATAAATAAACCTATAATAAATAAATAAATAAACCTATAATAAAATAAAAACCTATAAATAAATCCTATAAATAAACCCCCTAAAAAACCCCAATAAAACAATCAGGTTTTTTTTTTTTTAGTTATTTTATAATTATATGAACTATTACAACCAATATTTTTGAAAATATAAGCATATTGTAGTAGCTAGCTATAGAGAGAAAGTTTTGATTCAAACGCAATACTCTTTTTAACAAAATCTTTTTTCACAATAATTCTTTTGGAAACCAAACAATTAAAAGATATATATATATATATATATACATATATATATATATATATATATATATATATATATATATATATATATATATATATATATATATATATATATATATATATATATATATATATATATATATATATGTATATATATATATATATATGTATATATATATATATATATATATATATATATATATATATATATATATATATATATATATATATATATATATATATATATATATATATATATATATATATATATATATATACATATGAAAGAACTAGGCAAAACTAAAATTAAGAAAAAACTAGAAAAAATAACAATTTTAAAATTTAAAAAAAAGATTTTATCAAAATAGAAAATTAAAAAAAAGTAAATAAAAAAATAAAAAATTGTTTAAAAGCTTTAAAAAAAACTTTAAAATAATTATAAATGCAAGGGTTTAATTATTTTTAATTTTAAACTCTCAATGTGTATAAAGATTGGTCTTATGAAATTGAATCAAATGAAAACAGGACTGTACTTTTTAACTTATTATTAGCATTATTTGCAAATAAAATTATTTTTTATTCATTGGTTCACACTGTTGACATACTCAACAGTTGAATGTCACAGATTTCATGCCATTTAATAAAAACGTTAGATTACAAGAACAAACAAAAGGAGTTATTATGGTAACACCTAGGCGACAAAATCAATTTTGTAAAAATTAGATTTTAGACAAGCTCATTTCTGGAGTGCATACAACTAAGAATAACAATGTGCGATACCATCTAATGCCTTTTGCAAGTGATGTCAAAACTGTATTATACAAAATTTATTGTTCTTGTAAAGCAAGAACAATAAAATCAACTTATTACAATAAAAAGTAATATTAACACCATAATAATATATAACATCATCATTTTGAAAAACATTTTACACATTTTGGTTATATAGACAATACTTTGATAACTTTTAACAACTATATTACAGATTTATTGAACTATTTTTTTGGAAAAGTTATAGAGTTTCTCGTTAATTTTACATGACTTTTTCACACAAAAAAAGCAATTTATATGAATTTTCAATTATTTCCTATATATTTTTCGGATTTTCTATAAATTCCAAATGTCAACACCTTAGATTTAAACAACTCTCCTCAAGTAAAAATGAAAATATCAGTTTTGATGTATATTATCATAATTATTAATTATAATTAAAAAATTTTCAAATAAATAAGATTTATTCTTACCTAGTATTTTATTGGCTTGGCCCTGAGAAATATACAAATTAATTTCTGCATAATTAATAATAATCACATTTAAACAAAACAGAATCTGTAGTAATATCATTATGATATTATTGTAATATTTATTATGAAAAGTAATATGTTAAAAGTTAGAAACATATGTTTATTCGTTCAGAGCAGCATAACTGTACCAAGTTTTTATCACAATGGTGAAGTCCATGATCATTTAAAGCGGCTACGGAATTCAGATCAAAGTAGGACTCCGCATTGAGTGTCTTCGCGATCCGTCCATACCTAATAAATAGGATACCGGGTACAAAAATGGGTGATCACGGATCTTAATCTGAAGTATCGGTCAGGTTGAGTATCGGTCAGCTGTTTTAAGTTATTACCGTAAATTGGAAACACTTTTTATCTATACTTTAGTTCAAGGTTTGATAAATTATACTTTATTATTATGAACTTAAGTGATTTTTCATTGTTTTTCTAAATAATCCCGACGTTAGGGCAATTAGAAAATACAAAGAATGATATTTTTGTCATTGGGCCAATAGGAGATAATTGAAACAAAATATCTTGGGCCAAGGATTCACGGGCACAAGTTCCATCATAAGTATGTTTATAATTTTGTTTTTAGCGGTCTTTATAATTTCATAAAAATAACTTCACCATTTAAAACCTTGGTTGCCCAAATTTTCCAATTAAATGAACTTCCAATTAAATTCTTATCCGCGGTGCTCTGTGGTGAGTCCGTAAGGCTTCTTGGGGCACATAAATAAAATCATAAAAAAATATATCTCTCGTAATAATCTAGTTGAGAATAGTACAAAAAATATTTGATCAACTTGATGCTCTCACGTTTGGGGCAGGGGCGGCAAAAACTTTGGGTTTTTTTGTTCCCAGGCTCCATTCATCGCAATTATTTACAAAGTATCCTTATTTGACATATGTATAAATATTTGACTTATTTGACATACGTATAAATATATAAATGTTTAGAGTTTGCTCCATGTTTGGAAGTAGTGGGATCTCAAAAATCAAAAAATGCAAGATCCACCCCTGTAGTCCATTTCAAAAATGTTGCTTTTGAAATATTTTGCTTAAATATATTATATATTTATTTACTTTTTTAGTCCATTTAAAAAATGTTGTTTTTTAAAAAGTTTTTTAGATGTATTTTTTAACTATTTCTTTAATTTACTGTAAACTAAAATTTATTTTGCGACGTTTTTTTAACGATTTTATTCATTTACGTTAAAGTAAGTTTTTCGCGTTGTTTTAATTTTTAAAATAATTTCGATTATTAACGTTGAACTCATGTTTGCTTTGTGCAGACAACAAAGTTAATAAACCGACAAGAAATTTAATAAAAATGGTTGCAAACTGTAATCAGTAGTAACATAAATAATGAACTAAAAAAATTAAATTAAATTTTTTTATGTTAAAAATGTTAAAAAAACAGTGAGGTCTCAGAGAAAAAAATTAGCTAAGAACTCTGAATAAGCACATAAAGCTGTTTTAAGTAAAGTGCCAAAATTAGCACATTCTTTTCATTCTTCAAGTCTGAACCTTGCGAATCAAACAATTTATGTGATGAAAACACCTTAAAAACATCTAGTGAGACCTCCACTCTGTCTCAATCTAATCAAGAGGAAGATAATGTGTGTTACCCTCTGTTGTATAGTTCAACTTCTTCAGCTACTTGTGCCATATGTTCATCAACTTCCTTCTTTCAGCATTCGTTGCCAAAAATCTCATGAAGTATTAAAGAAAAACAAAGAGCAAAAACGGGCATTTGTTTTCAAAAGTTACGTTCTTTTAAACATTCTTCATTTTGAACATTTTATAAACATTCTTCCGTAAAGAATGTTTAAAAGACATTTTAAAAACTTTTAAACGACATTAAGAACGTTACTTTAAAAAACAAATGCCCGTAGGGAAGAATGTAATTTAAAGCCATTAATAGTTGAAACAGATGATAGTTTCACAATTACAACAGGTTTTTCGCACAGAAGTGAGACTTGCAGATTCTCATCTAATGACCCGTCCACTTAGCCATAACGGCTGGCTGTAAGAGAGATTTCATCATAAAAATGAATCCAATACCTTTCCCAAAAAGCAATAAGATATCCTAAAACTGAAAAACGCCATTTCTCAAATGAAATTTAATACAGGGTAGCAAGAAATGATGAACAAATAAGAGAAAATGGTTTAATACTCTCCAGAAACTGATTCAGCTTATTGTCTTTCTTGGCATCTGCTTTGACCCAACTCCAAAATCATATTTTGGGAAAGAAAAAAGGTTTCAGCGGCTAGAAAAAATTCACAGAGCAAGCCTAAATCCATAAGGCATCTTAATCTCATTTCAGTTGTTCTGAAAAATGGATCGAGGCAATAACCAGGATAAAAGATGAACAAGCTGTCAATCAAGATCTTATCCAACAAATTAACCATTAAACAGCACGGTGGAGAAGCACTTTTAAAAAATAGTTTCCGTATAAGCTCATCAAACCAGTACATCAAAAAGGGAACTTGCTTGGTCTTATTTAATAAATTAATCAATTTTGATCCAACTTTGATGAAGCATTTACGGCGAATTGAAGATTGAGAAAGACGTTCACAAATGCTTATTTTCAATACTCAAATTTCTAACCATCCGCCATCTTTCACGAAGAAAATGAAGTCATTGTCCAAGAAATCGTTGTTAAATAAGCAGTGTGTGAAGAGTCGGGTGGTGAAGCTCACTCTAACCTTTTAATTGAAGAAATGAAAGTCTTGTAGGCTAGACCTAAACAATTGTAGAGGTTGAGGTTATGACAACAGATCTAATATGGTTACAATTCAGCAGAATACTCACAAGCCTCATTTACATCTTGTGTGCAACCAACTCTAGGGACGGTCCTGCCTTCAACTCCCTGTAAGCACAAGTTCTTTTAAAATCATATATATATATATATATATATATATATATATATATATATATATATATATATATATATATATATATATATATATATATATATATATATATATATATATATATATAGATAGATAGATAGATAGATAGATAGATAGATAGATATAGATAGATAGATATAGATATATATATACTGCAATTGTTGTGACTTGCAAAACTTAGACCTTCTGTGTTCTGAACCAGAACTATAACCACTTTCTATACCTTTACGCGTCACAGCTGCGTTAAGGTATAGAAATTGGTATCGAAAGGAGGAAACTTCCTTGTTAAATGCTCCTCCGCGGTGCTCTTTGATAAGACTCTGTGATAAGACTCTGTGATAAGACTCTGTAATAAGACTCTGTGATAAGACTCTGTGATAAGACTCTGTGATAAGACTCTGTGATAAGACTCTGTGATAAGACTCTGTGATAAGACTCTGTGATAAGACTCTGTGATAAGACTCTGTGATAAGTATTTATGGAGCACTTTAAAAAAATTAGATTTGGATTTAGTAAGTTAATTTTCCGAAATTGAAGAAACGTCCATCATAAAAAGGATTGACGTTAATACATTTTTTGAAAATTATCCTACCCAACCCAAATTTAATACAATCCACCTTTTTCCTTACTCTCTTCCCCCATTTATTAAGTTTCACTTTTTATTACAAGCATCTGAAAGAACTGTAAGTATTTTAAATTGCTAAAAAAATTTGATTGGTACTAGATTGATTTTTACTAATTTAAATGTTTATTATTTCAATTTTATACTTCACAATTAAGTTATTTGATCCATTTGCCATAAATACGTCAAAAACAGTTTAAAATGTCTTCAATTTACCAGTTCATTTTCAATTACGTTTTTAATTATATATATTCATAATAACAACTAATGTTATTATGAATTTTGCAATAAATAAAATCAAATTGTTTCACTAGAGAAGCTTTTCTCTTGCAATTAGGCCCCTTGATACAAATACAATTTTCATAAAAAAATGAATGATGATCTTATTATGCATGATACTTAAATTGTAGTAATTGTATCATCTTATAAATTAAAGATTTATAAAATGATTCAGAATTATAAATTTTCCTATAAGCAGAAATATGTTTTTATAATCTAGAAGACGATGGAAAATATTTTAAAATTTATTCGTAGGAATGGGGGCGCAAATGGTATTTATTTAAAACTAAGCTGTTTTTTAAGGTAAAAAATTTTACGGTTGCTATCAATACAAGAGAATTAGTTGAGAAGATAGTTCGAAATATTTACATAGAAATAAACATAAAAAACAAATAATCTTTTTTATCTTCAGGGTGAGGCTAAGCAAAAAAGTATTCGAATTCGCAATAAGTAACAGTTATTCGCTGATTTAGAACAATACAAATAATAACTGCTTTTATAACCATCTTTTATAGGATGAAATAGCATGATTAACAAGACAGTTTGTAATTTAATGATAAGTAGTTATTTATAACAAATATTTGCTGTTAATATAAAAACCCTATTCATGCATTTATACTTATATATATATATATATATATATATATATATATATATATATATATATATATATATATATATATATATATATATATATATATATATATATATATATATATATATATATATATATATATATATATATATATATATATAACAATAAATGGAGTTATTTTGACTGCTTTATCTTGGAATTAATCTTAAAGGCGCCGACGTATTAGAACGTGCTAATAGATATATTTATTGCCATTATGATTCAAAACCAATAAAACTGATTTTTTAATGATTTGTTTTTATTTTAAATATGCAACTTTTTTAATTTTAAGAAAATTTTAGGATAATAATAAAAAAGCATTTTAATTCATTTTTAATTCATTTAAACTTTTTTAGAAATGCCAAAATAAGAATAAATTTAAAATCAAAATTTTCTATAATCAAATTAACTAATTAAATAACAAATATCGCATCAACAATTAAAAAAGATTATAAAATTTTTAAGGTCGTCATAATAGTAAAATCTTAATGTTTTAATTTGAAATGAAAAACTCTTGAACAATCACTAGTTCTGGTTGAGAACCAAGAGATCTTCCGCGGTGTCCTATGATAAAATTGTAAGGACTACAATAAGCATCTTAATAAGCACAGACACAGAAAACAATAAAAAAAAGCAGAAAACAATTTTAAAAAAAACGTAAAAATATGTTTGTTTTAAATAACATTTATATCATCAAAATGTTGTGTGACATAAGTAAACTGAAATTGATTTTTTTTTTCAACTTTTCACAAAGTTGAAAAAAAATCAATGTTTTTTGAATCTATTTCAATCAAAGTTGAATAACAATCAAAGTAGTGGAACTATGGAGCATTACTAGAATTATGGAGCATCATGTGTTTTACAAAATTTAGTTTAAAAATTCAAATCTTTTAAAAAATAAATTTTTCACAACGCCAATTATTATGTTTTTTTTTTTTATGTTTTTTAATTAGACAGCAATCTCTAGCTTAATTCTTTTTCATTGAAATTTCAAGCTATAATTTTCATGCTATAATTTTCATGGTATAATTTTCTATAAAATACTTATATATCCGAAGATATTGTTGGCTTGGTATATTAACAACCACAATTAGTCATTGAGACTTATCTAAAGTAGTGTTCTTTATTGACCAACATTTTTACATACCAAACTACTAAATCACTGAGTTGACAGTGCCGACATACAGATTACTTTTTATTTTTATTTTGGGGTTTTAATGGCATCATAATTATGTAGATAAAAATTATGCCTCGGTCAGCACAAGTTTATGATTTAAATTCAATTACACAACCTTTGGTTTATATTAAACAAATAACTCCATTATAATGAGAAATCGAAGCAAACTATTGAAAAAAAACTATTTATAATTATTTTTTTAAGTTATTAAGATGCTCCAAGGAGACCTATTGGTCTTATCACAGAGCACCGCGGAGAAGCATTTAATCAGGAAGCTTAGGCCTCCTTCCTTTCCAATGTCGCTTATTAGGCTAAAGCCGGCGTCTGCGTCGTTGCCAGATAACTTAAAATTCTAAAAGAATAGTTTCTAAGATATGCAGGAATCATAAAAATTTATGCATTAAAATGTTTTCAATCATCAAAGTGATGCATTAGTTTCGAGTCATTAAAAAACCTAAAACAAAAATAACAAGTGTCAGAGTAAAAAAGTTGTCTATCATTAGACAGCTATCCATCTCTAGTAGACAGCTATCCATCACTAGTAGACAGCTATCTCTAGTAGACAGCTATCTATCTCTAGCAGACAGTAATCCATCTCTAGTAGACAGCTATCCATCTCTAGTAGACAGCAATCAATCTCTAGCAGACAGCAACCCATCTCTAATAGACAGCTATCCATCTCTAGTAGACAGCAACCCATCTTTAGTAGACAGCTATCCATCTTTAGTAGACAACTATCCATCTTTAGTAGACAGCTGATTTACAAAAGCTTAGACAATTTTTGTAACTTAAGGTGCTGGAGTTAATAGAATTGGTCGTAATAGAAACAAATGAATAAAATGAATTAACCGCTAAGCAAATTGTGGGAGTATCCACACCTAATTCCATGAAAGTTCGACTTAAAAAGAGAAAAAAAAACACCCGCAGGGTATTTTTGTAAATCTAAGACGTCCTAAACTCAATAAAATTAGCACACTATGATAAAATCATTTTTAGCAACAAAGGAATATATTAGATCAGTTTTTTTTTTAATCCCGAGAGTTTTATCTATAGATGACAAAACAATGGAATGTAACTGGCTTTAAAATAATTAAAACTAAGTTTATTTGTTCAGACAGTAAAGTTGTTAAATCTAGTTTTACAAAAAAAGCAACATTTAAAAACAAAAAAAGTTGATATATAATATTAGTTAAAAACATATACTAAAAACATCTGTATATTAGTTATAATATTTTTAAACTAGTGGTTTTCCATAAAGTGCGTATGCAGGTATGGGGGGTGGGGTTACCCAAAAACGTACAAATGCGTACAGGAAGGGAGGGCTTTAAAACAGAAAATAAACAGCCGCTATTTATTTATTATTTAAAATTTATTTTAAGTTTTCTAGTTAGAAGATAAATTTTACAAAATTATTCATGTTTCAAACAACAATTACGCCAATATTTTTTGTAGCAATAATAACTACAGATCTGAGCTGCAGACAATATACAGATAAAATAGATAATTTAAAAAGTTAACAAATGTTCCGTGACATTTCAACTCCATAAATTGTTAATCTCTTAGAAAATTTTTTCATTTCTTAAGGTTTTATTTTGCCCGACTGTTGAGTTTACTCAAGTTTCGTCAATACATGAGGTCACTAAACGATTAAACTGCTCATGACAATATAATAACTAAGATAAAGTTATATAATCTAAGATAAACTTAGATAAATAACTAATTTACCAGTTGCTAACAATACCTAACCTTTTGACGCAAACGAAATATTTTAGATAATTGTTTAAATTATTTAGCCAAAAGTTAAGTAATCCAAATTTCTATGCAAACAGTGTTTCTATATTTTTAAATTGACTTTTCTTCATAAACGAATTATAAATAGCTATAATAATGCTTAAATGAGACCACCTAATGTGAACGTTGTATGAATATATTATGAGCACAAAGCCACGTAACTTTTGAATTGTCACTTATAAAAAAACTGCCAACTTTTTTTGAAAAAAAAATTAAATTAAATTGTTAATTATATAAATAAATAAACATCTTAAATGTAAATATTGTGAAAAGCAAAAACCCAGCCAATACAACTCCCATATTGAGTGTTTAAGTTCCTAAAACAAAGAGAATAACACATGCTAAGAATAGGGCTAAGAATATTCAATTCCGTAAAATTAACTATTACTATTTACCGGAAACACCAATTAAGATATTTAGTTTTTATTAATGGCTTCACCGTTACAAAAAACGTTGTATAATAATATTATACTAAGTTTCTATAACGAAGGAGAAACCAGTAAAAAAAAGCACGCTACATTAAAATTGACTTAAAAAATTAATAACACACGTGTTAAATTTAAGTAAAACTGCGCTTAAAGTTAACCCCAGCGGATACAGACTTCCTAGGACGCCCATACGACATCTTATGAACGTCACAACTCCGTAGGACATTCTTTAAACATCTGTACCCGATAGGACGTATTTTTAGGTTGCGTATGATTTGTAATGAACACGTATCAATATGGTTTTTTATTTCCTAAAGCGAAACTAGATATGCCGGAGTTGCAAATGAACTTAAAATAAAATGTTAAGAAATCAGAAAAAACCCTCAAAGATATTTTAAAACTTTACATTAATTTTATATTTCCTGGGGGGAGAAGGATGAACATTCCCTGCGCAAACCAAGTCCCAATTTTAACTTTTCTTGTCTACAACAACAATCCTATAGATCCCAACTTTAGTCATACTTTCCTACTTTAACTAACGTAAAATTTATATAACGCAAAGTTTTACTCCATTAACGGATTTTTTAATACATATAAACAACAAGATGTTGTCTTGCTTGCCTTGAAAAGAGATAAAATAATAACCCAAAACAACCCTTATCCTTGTTTCATTTTATCCTTGTTTCACCTCATTCAACAATTTCATTAAAACATTAAAAGCACAATCAAAATTATAATTGTTTGTTTTGAACCGATCATGTAGTACATTACAAACCCAATCTAAAAATGATCATTAAACCAAAATTTAAAAAATAAGATATTTAAAATATATGAAACGTTTAAAGGAAACAGTTATAAAATCAAGAGAAAAAAATAATGCAAATGATAGACCTATTGAATATTGATGAATTTCATTAAATTAAAAGTGTTGTGGCTTATCCATTTGTGGTAATTGTTTTTAAAAGATAAACATTTTTAAATTGTTAATTTTATCGTCCCATTCTAAAAAATATTTGATATTATTTTGTTTTGTTTTTCCCTATTAATGGGGAATAATTATAGATAATAAATATAGATAATAAAAAAAAGTAACAAATATAGATAATAAATATTTAGGTTTAAGTGATTTATTATTATGAAGGATATATATCTCAATCCTTTCGCCTTGAAAAAAATAAAATATATATATATATATACATGCATTTTATTTTTTTCAAGACGAAAGGATTGAGATATATTTCCTTCATAATAATAAATCACCTAAACCTAAATATTTATTATCTAACGCCTAACAGAAAGGTTTAAAGTGAGTTGTATCACGTTATTCACTGTGCCCCAGTACTGGGACACAGTGAATCAATGAACACAGCTTTGAATTAATGATAGTAAATAAGGGCATAATTAAATAACTATGAGGCTGATTGAGTAAAGAAATTGTTTACTATACTTTTGGCATACTTTTATTAATTAGATAAGTCGAAAAAATAGACATTTTGAAAATTGAGAAGGAAAAAAAAATCTTTTATTGATAACGAAACTTATAAATATGTAAAAAAAATTTAAAATATTATTACTCAAAACTTAAAAATAATAAATTCATTTTCACGTAGTTTGTTTGTTAAAAATGCATGAACTTAATCTTTAAAATCATTAAAAGGGCACAGTGAATCAACCACTGTTCACTGTACCCAATTCACTGTACCTAATTCACTGTACCCCACCATAGCAAATTACGTTCAAGTCTAATTTCTTGGGAAACGAGTGTTGTTAAAAGAAAAGCTAAACTACTAAAAAGAAGCATAAATATCAAAAATCCGAATGAAAAACTTCAACTTTTAAAATTATTTTAACAATGATCTCCATAACAAACATTTACTTTATAAATATTTTATAGTCTTTAAGTTAATTGATTTTCATTTTAGAAATATCTCCATTTAGTTACACCACGTTTTACTAAAACACAAAAAATTAAAAAAGAAAGTTACTTAAAAAAAAAATTTGTGAAGCTTTTTTTTTTTTTTTAGACCTTTTTAGCTCCCTCCTTGGCAAGTGACAATACCTGCCCCTGGTTCAACGCCACCTCTGGGTAAGTTTAATAATATTGTTAAGGAAGGAGGTGTGAACTTTCTTTCAAATGCTATTCTGCGTTGCTTTGTGAAAAGCCCATAAGGACTTCTTGGGGCACCTAAAATCAAAATTAAAAAATATATATTAAAAAATCAAAACATAAAAATCAAAAATAAATACTTACTAAATACTTACTGTTGGCTTATAGAAGAGGAGTAGCTAAAAGTGCATTCTTTAATAAATTTACTTTTTACTTACTATCAACCTGTATTTTGAGCTTCTCTATGCCAGTGGCAGATCAGTGGCAGATCCAGGATTTTTTGATAACTCATATATGATACTTCTAGGCATTGTGAAAATTCTACTAGTGGTCATAACTTTTGAGCGCCTAAAGTTGATTAAATGAAATATGTAACCTATCAATGAATTTAAATTTAGAATAAGATAGTAAATGAAAATAGCTAATGAAATAAACGCTTGCGCATTTGAGTGAGGGGAGATAAAAATCTGTTGGTGTATTTCTATTTTCCGGCTCCTATCACCGCAATATTTTTGTAAAACATTTGACATAAGCATGAACATAATTAAATTTAAAGTTTTCACAAACCCTGAAAATGTCATATATGAAACATCGAAAAATTCTAGATGTGCCACTGCTCTATTCATTCTTTATTTTTCATTTTTACATTTTATTTCGTTTTTCTAAAACACTTACTTTTGATTTGTAGTCAATGGTTATGACGCCCTCTTTTTGTTGAACCAGTTTTTAATGATCTTCATAATCTTTGGAAAGCAAAAAGCTGGATGAAAATAAACTTTACCATAAAGCAAGATATTAATAACAATAAACAAAATATTATAATGATAAAAAATCAATATATTATAATTTAAAGAATAAAAAAGATGGTAATAAATATTATATTATTAACAATATAAATAGTTATAAAAATTCTTAATCGTAAT